ACTGCATATGAATATGTTGCTAGAGAAACCGGAATAAAGTCTATTTTGTTAAATGTGCTTCATGTAATAGGAGATAATCCAGTGCAGGAATTGTAATCAAAATCTGAGATGTAGTAGCTACATTTAAAAAAATAATAATATTGCAGTGATCTGTCGTGGAACAACCCCACTGAAGAAGATAACAGTGGTTGCCCAGATCTTCTTGCTGGTTGTGAAGGGACCCCCATTACAGTTGAAGCTTCAGGGCCCCCATATATAGGTCCACCACTGGGAGTGTGTTTGAAATTCACTGAAAGAGATGAACGCCCCACTTTTGGAGAAGGAGTTAGGATTGATATTGAAGCAGGCACCTATTTCTCCTCAAGTACGGAGAGATGTTTCGCAGTGTGGTCCTGGATCCATCCCTAGAACAAACCCCGCTTTGAAGTCTTGAAAGAAACAGGCATCAGTGTCTGAGGCTGCGCACACGCCATCCCTTTGAAGCACAGCCAAAGCCCATTTCACCCCTCAAAGAATTCTGGGCCCTGGAGTCCGTCAAGGGCTGCCTGGAATTGTAACTCTGCGATGCTTGAACTACAGAGCCCAGAATTCTTTGAGGGAAAGGATTTGCTCTGACTGTGGTTGGAAGGGGTTGTTTGTAGGCAGCCCTGCTCCGCCGGTAGAAGCAACAACCAACCTGAGCAGAGCTTCTTCTCCGGCTGCAGATGCAGAATGGCGCATGCCGCCCCATGATCTCCCGTTCCCCATCTGTGAGCGAGGTGGGATTTTCACACGGTTGGGAGGTTTAAACCGGCAAGGCTTTAAACCCTTCTCTGCCGGCGGATTAGACCCTCAGCTGCTTGCAAGGGCATATGTTGCTCCATTATGCTCATCCGTGCGTGCACGCCGCAGCCGGGGCATGGAGGGCCTGTTGCTACCCTCTGCCGGGTAGAGCTTGGCACAGCGCAACACGCATGCAAATCTGTCCGGGCGCCCAGTTTCGTGTGTGCGAGGGGAGGGTCCCTCCCTGCGGCTGAGGTTGCTGGAGGAGCAAAGTGTGGCCTGCTGCTCTATCCCCAGTGCGCACCCCCTCCTCCCTGGCAGCCGTATGGAAAATGCACTAACTCATCAGATCTGCGCACACAGCCCATCAAAAGTAGGACATGGATAAACAGCCAGGCTGAGGTCTTTGAGCAAGGGAGGAGGAGGGTTCCCTCGAAGGTTGCCACGTCAAGATGTTTCAGCCAGCCCAGCCTACTAGGCCATTTCCACACCAAACGTATAATGTGCTATGATACCACTTTAAACAGTTATGGCTTGCTCCGGGAGAATCCTGGGAGCTGTAGTTTGTTACGTTCGTTAGCAGAGCTATAGTTCTCAGGGTTCCCTGTGAAGGAGGACTGGTTGTTTAAACGACTGTGGGAACTGTAGCACTGGGAGGGGAATAGGGGTTTTCCTAACAACTCCCAGTATCCTTAACAAACTACAGCTCCCAGGATTCTTTGAGGGAAACCGAGTCTCTAAAGTGGGATATTAAAAAAGTGGGATATGATGAAAGAAAGAAAGAAAGAAAGAAAGAAAGAAAGAGGTATCGCCAAAAAAAGAAACCAATATTTATTCGCATCAGATATCCGTATGTTAATTGATATGGATAGAGGCATGTTTAGAAAGTATTATTATCACTAAAAGGGTACAGCAAGACTATTGAAAGCATTGGGCAGGGCTGCAGAACCTCAGGCAGTGAGAACGGATGTGGCCCCCCAATGCTTACTTCCTGGCCCTCCAAACTCTCCAGGCCCCTTCCCCTGCCAACCTTGCTTGGTATCCTGAGTATTTTGCTTGGTGGAATGTATCCTTGACCTCTGATAAGGCCTCTTGTTTGGTTTAGGTGAAGGATAGATAAGGAGGGTGAGAATGTGTGGAGAAACTAGCCGCTTGTCCAAAGGTGAAAATTGTATGTGTTGCTCCACTCACTTTTTCATTGGGCTCCACCCACCACTACCATGTGGCCCCCAGAAAGTTGCTCAGAAGGGAAAGTGGCTCCTGGGCTCATCAAGGTTTTCCACCCCTACCTTCCTGCAGCTTATATCTATGGGGGCTTTCTCAGACTACCCTAAGCGACAAAACGGATCTGTGCCTATTTTACAAAGTAAAAACGGATGTCCACTTTTGCCCCCGGGTGCACCTGCCACTGGCATCGGTTGTACGAGGGGTGGGTTCGTGTGCCAGCCGGACGATGCTTCGGACAGCAGAAATGTCTTGTGCCAGTCCTGATTCTGTCAGTCAAGTCTGACTGGCCAGGTGCCTCACTGGTGAGTGTGCCAAGATGGACTGTGCTAGGTTTACACACGGGATTGGCGGAACCAAATCTCAGCCCAGTTCCACGCAGCACGTAAGTGTTGCGGTGCTGGGAAAAATCCTCACCCTCTCACTGGGTTGTTTTGAGGATGAAATGAGATACAAAGAACTCTGAATCCCATGAAGTGCTGCAGAAATTAATAATCACCCATTAATCCTATAAAGAAACACCTGCTGGGGTATTAGTTCTGTTTCATTACTTATTTGCTGGGAGAGGGCGGCGGGGGGGGGGGGGAGAGAGAGAGAGAGAGAGATGATTTGGATTTTTTTCCGTATAAATTTTCTTTCCTAGCGACAAGAAAGAGCAGTTCCTCCACAGTTCCTGGGTAATGCTTTGCCAAGCTAACTTGTGACCTTTCAAGCACCGTGCAACTCACACCGCAATAAGCCCTCCAGGAGCCCAATAAACTGCTGGTTTTGGATGCCTGCCCAGGGCTGCGAAAACCATGGCAGCGGGAGTCTGCGAGCGCCTGGCAAGGCTACATTGCATGGTTCATGGGCCGTCCTTTACTATGGTGGGGCCAGAAGTTGGGCAGAGCTGCTCCACCGTGAGGAAACAGAGGCAGCATTGTCTAGTGGTCGGAGCGTCCAATGAGGATTGGAGAGACCAACGTTCAGTTTATCCCATGAAGCTCATTGGTTGCAACCATGGACTGGTCACGACCTCTCAGCCGTTGGGTCCTGCCTTACAGGGATGTTGTGAGGATAAATGGGGTGAGGGAAGAACCATTAACACGACCTTGAGCTCCTTTGAGAAAAGGTGGGCTATCACAGAATCATTAAGAATTGGAAGAGACCACGAAGGCTGTCTAGATCAACTGGGGACTCAGCTACATTCATCAAAAGGCAGCGTTTTGAATGCGTTACAAACATGCAACACCAGATGGCGCTGGAGAGCAAACAAAATTTATTTGCGATTTCCCATAGCATTTTTTTCTTTTAACGGTTTAATTTCTGACTTATTTATAGCATCCACCCCCATGTGTAGATCCACCCCCTGTTAAATGCAGGATCTGCAGTGCAAGATGCAACGGAAGCATGCCTGAGATATCGTATCTCCAGAGGAAAGCCCATCGCCTCCTGAGACAGTCTGTTCCACAGTTCTTATTGTTAGGTTCCAACTCTACAGTTCTATGAAATGTATAGTGCAGATGGGACCTTTAGCTGAAATCTGCTTCCTTGCATTTTCCACTCATTGGTTCTACATATAGCCCTGGGAGGAACAGAGAACAAGGACATTGAAGGTGGGGCAAAATCATGGCCCTACTTCTTGTTCTACGCCAGGAGAGTAGGGAACAACTTCTTTTTTCCAGACCAAGGGCCATGTTACTCTGGGCAACTTTTGCAGGGGCCACATGCCAGTGGTGGTGGGCAGAAGCAAAAGTGAGTGGTGCAACTCATGCAATTTTTACCTTTATCTAGCAGGCTATTTTCTACATGGATCTCTCTGTATTCTCCATCTAGGTAGGAAAATAGCATTCCGAAACACATTCCAGCCAGGCAAAAACACTCAAGGAGGGCGGGAACCAGGCTTGGTCAATGGTCAGTGGCTGAGGAATTGTTGTAGGCTGGGTTGAGTCCCAATAACCAAATAGGATGGCTGTGTTTGGCTCCTGGGCCTCAGGCTTCCCACCCCACACTTTGTGCCAGAGGATTTCAACCAGTGTGCTGTGGCACCCTGGGGTGCCTAGAATGATGGTCTGGGGTTGCGTGGGCAACACTGACCTCTCCCTCTTTTCTTCCCTCCCTCCTCTGATGCCCTCTCACATCTCTGCCTCCCAAAGGCTTGCACAACTGTCTGTTGCAGCAGCCCCTGCTACAAGCTCCCTAGGTGAATGGTGTCTCTCGTGCTGGCCAGGGGGTGCTTCCCTGTGGGGTAGCGTGAGGAGGCACCTCTCTCTGGGGCAGGGAGGCAGCTCAGAAACCGGGGGGCAGCAGCAGCTGCCTGGAGGACTCTCAAGGAGAGGGAAAGGGAGAGGAGAGGCGGCTGAGGGAACACTCCACAAGGGAAGGTTCAAAAAGGGGTGAGGGGCTGCCAGCTCTGCAGGCAAGGGGTGATATAACTGGGCTCCTGAGCCCCACAGAAAGAGCATAGTTGATCAAGGGAGCCAAGGTTGAAAACCTCTGCTTTATGCCCTAGAGATGACAAATGTGTGGCAAGAGTTTAATGTTCTGCTCTGTTCTGTGTTGGTCAGGCCACCTCTGGAATGCTGTGTCCATTTCTGGGCACCAATTTTAAGCAGTGTGCAACTTGGGCTTGCAGTCTGGTACTCTGTGATTCTGAGTAGGCAGCCTATGATTGCATTAGCTTTTTAAGCAGCTGCATCACACAGCTGGCTCATGTTTCTTTCACGAGTAAACAAGCTCAAGGTGCAAACCGATGGAGGTGTTTGGCAATGCAGATAGCAACAAGATCAGTTCTCGTTGCTGAGGCCTCCTCCTTAAGTACTGTAATACGAATGGCAACGGACTGGGCTCTTGGTCTAATGGCAAGACCTGTCCTCCTCACCCCCACCCCAAGGAAATTGTGGTCACTGGGGGTGGGGAGCTGGTTTAGCTCTTATCCTTCAAAGGTTCCAGAGCACAGCTTTTCACTGTCTGCTGTTAATGGATGCTAATCAGTCTTATTTGGGGTGGGAGAAAAATTAAAGCACATCACTGGAGTCCCTAAGCTGGTGGCAGTGGGTCAGTGCACCTGGTTAGTAACCAAAAGGTTGGTGGTTCAAGCCCATCCAGGGATGGCTGGGGGCAGGATTCCGGCATTGCAGGGGGTTGGACTAGATGACCCTCGGGGTCCCTTCCAACTGTAGAACTCTATGATGTGCCTGTGCAGGAGGAACATAACCTTCTTCCTGTTAGAATTCCTGCTCCATGATTGCAGTCATAGGATTGTATACGGTATATGTTTTGACTTCTCAAAGTGGGAAGTGACGGAGACAGGATGTTTATGTTACTGTGTTCCATGAAGTGGGACTATTGTCCTTTGTTCATTCTCTTTGCTGTCTGATGCTATAGAGAGAGGGAGCCATGTTGCAGTGCTCCATGTGTGTTTATATGGAAATAAAGTAGATCAGTCAAAATGCTGAGTTGCTGAGGTCTGTCATGCATGATGCGCAAACTCTGCAGATCCCTAAGTGTGCCGGTGTCTGTTGGCATCGGTCGCTGTGATGTTTGGGCTGAAGAAAGCTTTTGAAGCTCCCGAATGAATGACCAGGAGGGAGAGAACATGCCAGTCTGGCATGTGTCTCTGTCAGGGTCCTACTCGAGTGTAGGCCTCCCTACACACCAGGACGCCACCAGGGTCATTGCAACAGACCATCCCCTTTCCACTCCTCTTCCCATGATGGACAATTCACTATTTGAGACTGCAGAGCAAGGAATGGCAATAGGGCAGAGATGGCTCTACCATTCGTGCTGATTTTTGCACCCGCCTTGAGTCTTTTTGCCTGGATGGAATGTGTGTCCTTGAGCTCTGACAATGTTTCCTGCATTAAATGCTTGTGTGTGTGTCAGAGAGCAATGGTCGCTCTCCCCAAGCCCTGTATCCATCCCCTCTGTTGGAGGACAGAGCTCTCTCTGTTTGCCACCCAGCCTGCCCTGTGCCCCCTAAGCTAGCCTGCTGCCCTCCTGTGTGGTTGAGGATGCTCTCCCGTCTCCACAGTTGAAATAAGAATTACAGAATTGTAGCATTGGAAGGGACCAGTAGGATCATCTAGTCCAACCCCCTGCAATGCAGGAATCTTTTGCCCCACATGGGGCTCGAACCCACAACCCTGAGACTAAGAGTCTCATGCCCTACCGACTGAGCTATCCCAGTAGGATCCAGCAGAATCAGCTGTGAGTCTGATTGACTTCTGTACCTGGAGTTTGGAGGGGAGGGAGGCACCAATTTTGCTCTTCTCCTCGGGCAGCAAAATGTACTGAGGCATCTCCCTTCTATGGAGCTGGATGGCTGGTGTGCTCTGCTAAAGGGTTTTGCAAACAGGGCATATTCCCTTCTGCATGAACCCTTTTTAATGATCAGCAGGCCTAGAGAGAAGAGTGTTTTCAGCTTTTGAAGGAGGATGTCCACATAAAAGCATGCGGCTGCTCAACCCCCCCCGCAACCCCCCTGAAAAGGGCAGCCCCCCCCGATGGTGCATACAAAGCTTCCATGAGGGTCCATAGTCTGTGTGCATAGGCTTTTCCATAAGTTATGCTGAAGCAGGAGCAAGGACCGTGCTAGAAAACCCCTGTCTCTGTCTAAGCCCAACTCATGCGCAGAGTGCTCTGATGCCATCACACTGGCAGAATCCATGCAGCTGGAGGACAAACCAGCTCGTATTCTGCTGAAGACATGCAGGGGAGGGCTGTGGCTCTGCGGTAGTGCATCCACTTCACATGCAGAAGGTCCCAGGTTCGATACCAGGTAGGGCTGGGAATGTCCTGTCTTAAAATCCTGGAGGGCTGTTGCCAGTCAGGGTAGACAAAACTGGGCTAGATGGTGTCTGTACAAGGCAGCTCGCTATATTCCCCACCTCTGCTTAGCTAGGCAGGGCCAACCCTATCATTGGGCAGAGCGCGGCAATTGCTTCAGGCGGCAGATGCTCGGAGGCAGCAGTATGGTAATTCCTCCAGAGCCACTCTCCTCTTTGGCTGGCCGCTCTGTTGATCTGACTCTGTGTAAGGCAGCTTCCTGTGTCCCTGTGCTATGACTGAAGGCCACCTGCCAAGAGACCCCTGTAAAATATACGTCCCTTCTGCCGAGTGCCAAATCTGCTGTCTCGGAGGACACTTGGCTGAGGAGCCTGGGATAACAAGCCAAAGGCCAGCGCCTTTACAAGTGGCTCTTGTAGGTCCAACGTGAATGAGAGCGGCAGCAAGGCGCATGGCCCGACATACTAATGTGTTGCGCTGCAGGATGACCTGGTGCCATTGCTCTTCCTGCAACCCGCTCCGATCGCTATTATACCTGAGATTATGCCTGTGCTGCAATGCAGATCGCATACATTGGTCGTGAACTGGCACACACACACTGCCTGATAGCACGGAGTGGGGCGTGCAGGCAATCTGCACCAAGGCGCGCCCAATGCAAATGGGCATTTGTGCGCGCACAACCTCTGGTCAGTGCAGGTGCTGGCAAGGAAAACAAGACCCTTTGTCTCTGGCAAGGTGTCTGTTGCTAGTGGTGATTTATCAGGGCAAAACGTTTCTGGATGGCAGTCCCCAAATCAGGGTGTCCCTTTTACCTTTGTTTCGGTAACTTTCACAGATGCCGGTGGCTTCCTCTGTCCTTTTGACTTTGACCATGTTTGCAGAACTTGCCTCGTCCCTAAACAGGCTTGCTGTTTCCAGGGTGCTGAGTGCCCTCCTTGTCGCAGAGTGTGTGTGATGCTGCTGCCCTCTGCTGGTAAGAGCTGGCCTGACTTTGGGCGGATTCAAATGTGCCCAGGTATTCACACAGCAAACCCTTGAACTTTTAAAGACCTGTGATCATCGCACCTATTCATGTGAAAGTGAGAGAGCATTGCTTTTAGCCACTGCAAGCAGAAGGATAATAACATCCTGGTAAAGGAGCCGAAGATGCTGTTTGGGTAATGCAAGATCTTCATGTGATCAGAAATTACTGCCCCTTTAGTACAGCCCCGACCTACTAGGAAAAATGGCTAATTTAGACTGCAGAGAGGTAATGTATTATCTCCTCCTAAAAGTTCAAAAGACGGGTCACTGTTTGTGGTGTGTATATTCAGCCACTGTTGCCTCTGGAAAATAGGTTAGAAAGAGATTCCCAGCCCCCAATATCAGGGCCCACTGGTATGTAGTGCCATCGTTTCCATTTTGTGTTATCGTTTTCCATTTTGCACAAAGTATTCAAGAAGACCAGGAAATTCATTTCACATGCCCTGCTTATTCTGTGGAGCCCACCCAAATCGTGGAGTCAGCACTGCCACCTCCCAGGCCTCCTCCATGGAGAATGGGGTGGATTCCTTGCCTTTGCTTGTTTTCCTTAGGTGCTCGTAAGCGATGAAGTGGGCAGGTTCCTTAGCAGGCGGCTGTGGAGGAGGGACCATCGCTGGAATCTCAGCCATCTCACTGACTCGGCAGTCCTACTTCAGGAGAGGCTCAGAAGAGTCAATCTCTGGACACTGGGCACTTGGAGCAAGGTAAGATCATGGTGTGTGTGTGTGTGTGTGTGTGTGTGTGTGTGTGTGAGAGAGAGAGAGAGAGAGAGAGAGAGAGAGATCAATGCTTTCATTAATGTCCAGTCTGCAAAAAGTAATAGTTCTGCTCTCTTCATTGCTGGTCAGGCTGAACCTAGAGTACTGCACCCAGTTCACATTTTAAAAGCATTGAAGTGCTTTAGAGTTTCCAGGGAGGGGAATCAGGATAGTTGCTGGGTATGGAAACCAAATCCTATGACTTGAGGAAGGACCTGGGCATGTTGACTTGCTTAACAGCCGGGGACCAGTTTACTTGCTTACCCCATATAAACCCACCTGGCTGCTTCAATATAGCAAACTGGCATGGTTACAGGCATCACTTGATACTTGCTCTGCAGCTGTAAGAAATTTTAGTGTGGCAGTATCTATACTTTGGAAGTCCCTGTCTGTTGACACCAGGCAGGTGCATTCACTCTACTAGTTCATGCTGAAAAACATTTTCATTTAGGCAAGCCTGTCTAGACATGGAGATGTTGATATGTCTTAATCTTTTATGCTGTTGAGTTTAATTGTTTTTCAAGGTTTTTATTGATAATTTTAATATTTATTGTAACCTCTTAGAGGGTTTCCTACAATCAAGCGGTATATAAATCTTGTTCAGTAAGATAAATAATTGTTTAGCTCGGGGAAGAGAAGATTAAAGGGAGACATGATAGCTGTCTTCTGACTGTTGGATGGGCAGAAGTTGGAACAGATGTTTGCTGTTGCTCTGGAGAGGGCAGAAGGAGATCTGACAGCTGGGCATTGCAAAGAAGAAAAAGAAAAGCTTTAATGGTTGTTCAACATTTATATACCACTTCTTTGTAAAAAGGAACCACAGCACCTCTAACGCTATGAACTAAAATGTCAAAATTCTCAATAAAACCAGTTATTGATACTTTCCCGACAGTGAAAACTAAACGTTTGAGACTTTTAAGTTTGGGGGGAAAAGACAACTGATGGGAATAATTTAAAAAACCCCAGGGTCACCAATGGCTTTTGTGGCCCCATCGAGTCCCCTTGCTGAGCAAGCTGGGGCTAGGAGTCTCTAAGGAACACTTGCCTGAGAGCAGAATCCACATATGAAGTCAAACAGCCCTGAGGTCAGGGAATCCAGGTGATCACAGAGTCAAGGGTCCAGATGTAGAGGAAGAAGCAGCAAGGTAGGGCCTGGAACCACAGGCATTGTTTCCAGCATCTGAGTGCTGCTGAGAGCTCCGTTTAAGAAGGCTGAAGCCAGCTGTTTCTCATCAGTACCCTTCTTTTCCATGTCCTTGAAGGCTGATCAGTTGCAGGTGGAGCCATTCCAGCTTCTCCCCTTCAGGCTGCTGTTCAGCAGGTGAAGCTGACCCCTGGCCCACGACAATGGCACGGATTGTGTGATGTGGAGAAATGGACAGAGAGAAGTGTCCTCCCCTCTGTCATGATACTAGAATCCAGGGCCATGCACTGAAGCTGAATGCTGGAAGCACTTCTTTACACAATGCACATTTGAGCCATGGAGTCCGCTAACCTGTGATGTAGCTCATTGACTTCAATTAGATAAATTCATGGAGGATGAGGCTGCTAGTCGCGAGGGCTGTATATTACCTCCATTATCGTAGGCATTATGCCTCTGGGTACCAGTTGATGGATGGGTATTTCAGAGGCACATGGGCAGCCACTATGGGAAACAGGGTGCCAAACTAGGTGATCTTTGTTTTGATCCAGCAGGGATCTTTTTATATTTTTAGGACTAGATGCAGTGGTGCTGTTAGGGAAGGACTTTGGGGGCAGGAAACCAGGGCCTTGCTCTGCGGAATGAGCAGGAGGGCACCCAAATGCAGCAAAACCACATTTTGAAGCAAGTAAAGCAATAGTATACACCACTCTCTAAAGAGCCTACCTCTGCTGCTACACCATTAAGTACAGAGCCTTAAATTACCTAGGTGCATCACTGACTGGATGATCCAGCACAATGATTATCTCCCAGATGATCTCCTTATGTTCTTAAAAAGTCTTTTTCTCCTTCATATTTAAGTCTAACATCATCCACAAGGGCTCGCATGAGGGTAAGGGTGCCAATGGCCCCATCACCATCCCTTACGTTCATCTCTCACAACCGTCTCTGTGATGATTGCTTGCAGGTTTACAAGAGCCCGAGACCCCGATTCTTACTTCCAGAGTGACAGCAGGTAGGAATGGTGTCCTGGGGCCTGGGCGTCCTGCTCATCCGTCTCCTCCTCAACCTGATCAACCAAGGTGAGACATACAGAACTTAAGAGGAGCACTGCTGGCCCAGAACAATGATCTATCTGGTCTGCTGCCAGTCACATGACTCCAGGAAGGGTCTAAGCAGGCGAGGTGGCATGGGCTGTAACCTGCCTTGTGAGAGGAAATGGAAGGACACCAACCCCTCCTTCCTTTTCACTTCACCATTGCTACCAAGTGGATATATTGATTATTCTCTGGCTATCTCCACTAAATAACCTGCTGGACTTAACTGGTTCAGTCTCAATATTGGGCAGAATGGTTTGGTTGTGCCAAACCACCCCTCCTGTACTTTTAACCTTCCTGTGCACTTTTGACCATCCTGTGCAAGTAAGCCTTTAAAGCAAAAAGCAAGCATTTTACAACTTGAGTTTTACAACCTAAAACACAATATAAAATACCCCAAAGCCCTAATCCTTCACAGTAGGACATGACAGCTTAGAGCTCCTAACAAGCTGGGTCATATAGGGAAGGATGGGGTGCAGTTCCAAAGGGGTATCAATGCATCTGTTACCCAGATCTTGTGTACAGATCTTTGGAAGTAATAATTGCACCCGATTCTGAGCTGGACAGGATGCATCTAGAGTACTGCATCCAGTTCTGGTCACCACATTTTAATAAGGGCATTGAGGAACTTGAGAAGTCCAGAGGAGGGTGGCTGGAATGGTGATGGGTCTGGAAACCAAGTTCTTTGAAGAATGCTTGAAGGAGCTGGACATGTTTCACCTGGAGAAAAGAAGATTAGGGGAGGAACAAAGGATGCTGATTTATACTGAGTTAGACAACTGGTCCAGCGAGTCCAGCATTGTCTACACTGACTGGCAGGGGATTTTCACACAGGGGATGTTTTCAGCTCTTCTTGGAGATGCCAGGGATTGAATGTGGGACCTTCTGTATGTATAGCAGATGCACTACCACGACCTGCCACCCTTCCCCATGACAAGTGTCTTTAAATATCTGAAGGGCTGTCATGCAGAAGTTCAAGCAGCCTTGGCTAGAACCAATGGATAGAAATTTCAAGGAAGTAGATTTCAGCTAAAGATGAGGGGAACAGAGGCTGCTGTAGGAGGCGGTGGGCTCTCTTTTGCTTGGAGGGTGTTGAGGCACCGACTGGACAGCCACCTGTTTGGAAGAGTGTAGTTGCATTTGAGCTGTTCTCTGATAGCCTCCCTTTTCTTTGCTGAGTTTCAGGGAAGTGGACATTTACATGTAGTTGGCTTGGAGGAAATAGGCAGACTTTGAATGAGCATAACTGTTGGCCATCATTCATATTGTGGATCTCCTAGGTTGCTGTGCTGAGAACCTTCAACAGGCCTTCCGTGTGGAGCCGGATAACGTCACCGTCCATGAAGGGAAAACAGCTCTGCTAAGGTGTGAGGTGGACAACCTATCTGGCATTGTGCAGTGGGTGAAGGATGGGCTTTTGTTGGGACCCAACCAGGACATCCCTAGGTTCCCACGCTACAGCATGGTGAGAGATCCTAGCCAAGGTGAGAAGTCTCCAGGTTTTTTGTGTGGGGGTCATTGGAACTAGTTTCCATCAAGCTGCCACTTCCAACTAGCTGCCACTATCAATTAGGGCAGGCGTGGGAAATCTGTGGCCTTCCAGAAGTTGCTAGACTACAACACCCATAATTCCTGGCCATGTTGGCTGGGGCTGATGGGAGCTGGAGTCCAACAACATCTAGAGCAGGGGTGCACAACCTGTGGCCTTCCAGATGTTGTTGGACTGTACCTCCCATCATCCTTGATCACTGGCTATGCTGGCTGGGGCTGATGGGAGGTGTAGTCCAGAAACTACTGGAGGGTTGCAGGTTGTGCACCCCTGATTTAGAGGGCCACAGATTCCCGGTCCTCCGACGTCTGGTTCTGCTTTGCAACACTGCTTCAGCTCTGTTTTTGTGAATAAGGTTTTCAAATCATTTCAAGAAAATTGCCAAGGAAGGAAGGGAAGGGAAAAAGCATGGAGACCTCTCCAGTCTTTGCCAGCAATCATGAGAGCTAGGAATATATTTGTGATTTATATTAGGGAACACAGACCCACGATAGGAGTGATGGGGACATTTGTCAGGTTCTGGAGGAAAGACTGGAGCTGACTAAGATGTATGTTGGGAGGAATTGTTGTGAAACTGGAAAAAAAAACCTCCTCACATTAGGTTTGTATGAACGTGCTGGTGCTGTATATTCCATTGGTGCTAAGATATATTGCTTCATCCACTGCCATCCTACTGTTTTAATTTTTTTGGGGTTGTTGTTTTTTTTGGAGAGGATTTAAATGGTTATGATATTGACTTAAGTGTTCTTCCTGTGGAATCATGTAGGATTTTTTTTAGAGGCGAAGTGGTAGCAATTTCTTTATTTAAATAAAACAAAACTGAAATGAAGTCGAAACTTGGTGCTTCTGAGATAACTGATAAATGGCATTTTTAGGACACCAAATCCTGCATTAGGAAGAACAGCACCAGCGTATTAATAGTTATGGAGAAGCTGACACAGTACAGTCATACCAGATGCTTCAGGTTGCGTTTTTTCAGGTTATGGACCACCGAAACCCGGAAGTACCGGAACAGGTTACTTCCGGGTTTGAGCAGTTGTGCATGCTCAGAAGCACTGAATCGCAACCTGCGCGTGCGCAGACGCACAGCTGTGGGTTGTGAACGCTGCGGGCATTCCGCATGGATCACGTTCACAACCCGTGTGCCCTCTGTATAGTGAAAGAGCTGGGAGAGGATTGGAGAACCCGCTTGGATGGGTGATGGTGCCAGGAGCCGGATAACTAGCAAGAGCAAAGCAGGATTGGAGAATGTGTCCCAGAATGAGAATATTTTGAACCAAACATGGGGGAAAATATCATTTCGACTTGCCCTTGCCTTTTGATACTTCAGGCAAGTTTAACCTGCAAATAACAAGGAGCCAACTGGAAGACGATGCCATGTACGAGTGCCAGGTGGGACCCTCAGAGAAAAGCAGAGGCATCATCTCTCGCAGTGTGCTGCTCTCTGTGCTGAGTAAGTGCCAGAAGGAATCTGGGAGCTCACGGTCGGCCCCTCTCCTAATCAATTCATTTGTGTTCCCTCTTCCAGAATTGGTTGAGAAACAGCCATGTGACTCTCTGCGGACCCTTTCCCAGAGGCCACACCCTCTCTGGGTTCTTTTGCCTGCCTTGCACTGTGACTATGCCTCTTTCTTGCTTGGGAGAAGGAGGGAGAGATGTGTGGTGCATGGGCCTGTGTGTGTGTGTGCACCCATAGAAACCTTTGTGTTTCGCATTGCTGGAATGAAGCCTATTGGACAAGAGAAGCGTCACATCCAATGCTCTGCCCACTTCTGCATCTGAACTGGTATGCAGACCCTGGAAGGTTGATCCCAAGAGAATTTGGCCCCTGAGCTGAAAAGGGTCCCCTGATCTGACTGAATTGGCATTAACCCTTTGCACACAATGGTTTTAGCTATGAAAGTGCTGTGCGGTGTCAGGGACCGTGTTGAGGAGGGCTGCACTGAGGAGGAATGGTGGGAGCCCCCCTTCCCCCTGCTCCTGCTCCTGAATCTTCCTAGTTTAGACTGTCTAGATTTGGAACAGCGGTTTGCCAAAGGGCATAGTTCAGAAGGCAGAAGTTGGGAAATACTGGATGGGGAACAGCTAGGAGAAGAAACACTGGAAGAGAGAGAGTTAACAGATTCACAGCCTCTGGACAGCATTGCTCCACCCAGCCCAAGTTCGAGAAGAGCTCAGAAAGATTCAGAACAGAAAGCGCAGAGGGTACAAGCTCAGAGTACAAGACGTAGGAGTGACATAGATTAATAGGGACGGATGGAGTGTAAGCCTTAATTGGGAGCACCACCATTCTGGGTTGACGCTTTCTTTTGTCCTTCGCTGTGTTTATTAAAGAAACTAACTGGTAAGAATTCCTTTTGTTTGATCTGCTCATTTAGGGCCACGGGGGCCAATTCCCCGAAGTCTGACATGTGGGGAGGATGCTTCTGGTGGTGGAAGTGGAGCAGAGAAAAGCACCTGCACCTCACCCTTCTTCACTTTACTTCTTTTCCTTATAGTTCCCCCCAAGAGGCCGCTCATTAGGGAGTACCAGGCCAACAGCACAGTGACCTGGGTGGCTGGCATGGAATATACGGTGCACTGCCAGGTGGAAGATGCCCGGCCTGCGGCCGAGATCACCTTCCGCAGTGGTGAGGATGTTGCATGAATCCTAGTTCCTTCCACAAGTTGCGGGATTGTTCTTTGGGAGGGGAGGGGAGGGGCAGGGGCTGATTTTGTGGCATGCTCCCTGCCAGCGGTTGCTGGTGCTCTTTGTGACTTGTAGGGTGGGGAGGCTAACCAGTAGGTGGCGCTGTAACCCATGGCAGGCAGAGGCAACTAATTCTAGTATTTGCTCTATCCTTCTCCCCACTGAGTTCTACAAGGGCAACAGAAAGGTGGAGGAGGCAGGGGTGCCACCCTCTGGACTGAGCAGAAAGAGGACGGCAGGCAGGTGGGGCTTGGGTGAAGGCAGACAGAGGTTGGTGGGGCAGTGCCCATTTGCCCTAATGGATCACCCTCCAGTTTCTCTCATTTCCAATGAGCAAAGAGATGTTTCTGGGACAATGGTTCCACTGGCTGGTTCACAGGCCCGCTCCGAGGTCCAGAGAGACCTGTGCCACTTACACATTTTGTGCCCCCCTGGCCATAATAATAATAATAAAAATAACACATGAAAACAAAATACGGCACCCACCCAGAAAACATTGAGATATAATCTGAATGTTTTATTTATTTAGGAAATGCTTTTCTAGCCTCTCTCTGTGCAAATGCATTCATCATTGATTGAGGAGGAAATCTAGCTTTTGCACAGTTATAATGAGGAATTCTCATGCATGAATAATTCCTTAGTCAACTAGAGATAAAACTATAGAGAAACTTAAATGTAACATTTCTCCGCCTTTCAACATACATTTGATCCAGCTCCAGACACCAGCAGCGGTTTGTTTATACAATCAGCTGATCTGAGAAGATACATTCACCATGGTCTAATCTTGTGCTATCGGAACCATAAATATTAATATTGGCGGACATTTTAAAGTCTCTAAAATAACACAATCAGATTTGTCGGGGTGCCATTAAAAGTAGCAGAGCAAATGGCAAGACAAGTTTTGGCCCATGGAAGTTTGGGTACAACTCAGTTCATAAAAAGAGAGCTTTGCATTGGATTAAGACAAATAGACTGAGGGACAGTCACATTCCCATACTATCCGTGTACCTTTAGCCTATCAGCTTAGTTCTCTATCTTCTTGTTGTTTAGACTGACATGACTTCAGTTGCATCCTGTTTACAGCTTCCTCCTCCTCTTCCCACTGATTCTTGGACCTCAAGAGGAGAAGTCATCTTTTACTATACTCTGAGAGAGTAGATGAGCAAGCATGGATGCCTTGTTGTTTTCTAGACTAGTTAGGTTGTTGTTGTTGTTGTTTGTTTAAAGGGAACATACTAGACATCATAAAACAGAAGGAAAATTCTCTGGATGCTTAGATCCAGGGTTTGGGGCAAGTACTCTTTGGTGAGAGAGCCCCAGCAGAGATTTAAAATCACATTCAGCAAAATAAAGCGTGGAAATATTGGCTGTTAGACCTTTAAAATACCCCCTTCTAAGTTTCTTCCAAAGCTCCGCTTTTCCCTTAGCATAGAAAGAGACCACACGATTGGTAAGTTAAAAATAGTTTACTTACTCTTCAAAGGTCAGATTCATGTGTTTTTCCATACAGCAACAAGAAAAGACAAGCAGTACAACTTAGTTTCAAAAAGTGGGAAATGTTTCTAAGTTATCTGTATAGAAGCACAAAGATGGCTTGGAATATTCAGCTTAGATATCCTTATTAGAAGAGTTCACATGGTGGAAGAAAAAGAACAAAGTGTTTGGTAACCCTACCTCCCAAAGTGAGGGTGTGTAACCTAGCTAAGCCTGGCAGGACAGCTTACTCTGTGGTCTTAACCCCTTCATGCATCCATTAGAGTGAAGTATGTTGGCTAAATGAGGCTGGGTATATGCCACATTCTAGAACTAGAAACTTTTTTATCTGAGTTATGTATTTCCCACAATAAACAACTCCCCCTTTCCCTACACGCATCTCTCTCTGTGTAATTGCAACAGGTAAAGTCTACTCTCTAATCAAGACTCACTAGTTAAACGCTGCTCACACTGCATACGAAAGGATTTCATTAGGTAATTGGACCCTCTTATCCCAATAGAAATTCTGTTGCACAAGCTGTCATTGAAATGTCCTGGAACTGTGCCAGAGCATGGAAGATGGTGATCTGTGCTTAGAACTTAGGAAGCTGCCTGGTCTGATTCAGACCATTGGTACACGTGGCTCAGTACTAGCAACACTGCCTGGCTGTGGAGTTCTAGGGTTCCTGGCAAGGAGAAATTCCCTGTGCAATCTGGAAATAACAGTGATTGAGGCTGGGACCATCTGCCTGCACAGCAGACGCTCTCCCACTAAGCTCTGGCCCCTGCCTCATAATCAGAGCCCTGCTAGATCAGATCTAAGTCCTGCATTGTGTTCTCACAGTTGCCTCTGGGAAGCCCTCAAGCAGTTCCTGAGCATAATAGCGGCCTTCTCCTGCAAGCTGGTTTTCAGAGGCATGTTTATTAGTAGGGAAGGGAGGTACCATTCTAGGGTCTCACCTTGGGCACCCAGCTAGTTTAGGCCAGTTTTTTCCCTTCCTAGTATGGGGTCCCTCAGAATTCGCTTGCTTCATACTGTGCTAGTCTTGGCAGGGTGGGGTGGGGGTATTTTTGAGGGCTACCATGGGGGTATGTGGAAGGTTGACTAGGCCACGGAATTAGCATCCCCCTTACCAATCTTCCCTTTCTCCCCAGGTGACAAGGAAGTGACAGGTGTGTCATCCAGCATCCAACCCGGCTCCAACGACAAGCTCTTCAGCACAGAGGCAATGCTGAGGTGCGAAGAGCATGGAAGGAGCTCTATAGCGCTAGCCCCCAGTTGCCTTTATGCAGGGCTGCCCTGGGATGCGGGTGGCGCTCTGGTCTAAACCACTGAGCCTCTTGGGCTTGCCAATCAGAAGGTCGGCAGTTCAAATCCCCATGACGGAGTGAGCTCCTGTTGCTCTGTCCCAGCTCCTGCCAACCTAGCAGTTCAAAAGCATGCCAGTGCAAGTAGATAAATAGGTACCACTGTGGCGGGAAGGTAAATAGCGCGTCCGTGTGCTCTGGTTTCCGTCACAGTGTTCCGTTGCACCAGAAGCGGTTTAGTCATGCTGGCCACATGACCCAGAAAGCTGTCTGTGGACAAATGCTGTCTCCCTCGGCCTGAAAGCAAGATGAGCGCTGCAACGCCATAGTCATCTTTGACTGGACTAAACCATCCAGGGGTCCTTTATCTTTTTTTTAAAGGCTGCTCTACAGTGGAAGTCAAAAATCTGAAGGAATGTGGAGAGAAGTACCGTATTTTTTGCTCTATAAGACTCACTTTTTCCCTCCTAAAAAGTAAGGGGAAATGTGTGTTCGTCTTATGGAGCGAATGCAGGCTGTGCAGCTATCCTAGAAGCCAGAACAGCAAGAGAAATTGCTGCTTTCACTGCGCAGCGATCCCTCTTGCTGTTCTGGCTTCTGAGATTCAGAATATTTTTTTTCTTGTTTTCTTCCTCCAAAAACTAGGTGCGTCTTGTGGTCTGGTGCGTCTTATAGAGCGAAAAATACGGTACATGCAGAGTAGGGGCCAAAGGAGAGGAAAGCTGGGGAAGAATAAATCCTTCCCTTGTGGTTTCTCTCACCTTCTCATTTTTCCAATCTTAATTTCAGTTTGCCATCTTTCCTCATTAGTTTATATTAAAAAAAATAATTCTCCCCAGATACACATTTTTGCAAGCAAATGTTCCCTGATCAACACATTTTTTGCAAAGCAATTTCCCCTCCAAAGGGATGCATTTTGCACGCCGTTTTCACTAACTTATGCATTTTGATGCACACATTTGCCCCTGGTAGACCCATTTTTGCACCCATATTTTAGCTGGACAACTGTATTTCCAAATTAGGAGAAGTGAGAATTTCTAAGGCAGCTGCAGTTTGGATTTGTGTATTCTGTTGGAAAGTGCAAATGATGTAGGTTTGTGTGAACCAAACCAGACCCCCCCCCACCAAAAACAATTACTAGCTTTGAATCGCTCCTGTGGTCTCCTCCTCTGCTTTCTTCCAGGATCACTCCCCAGAGCTCAGACAACAGGCAACGGCTGACGTGCGCAGCTTCTAACCCAGTTGCCTTAATCCCAGTTGTTGTCAGCTTCACCATGAATATCCTGTGTAAGTCACTCAGAATGCTTGGTCAGACCTTTCCCTTTTCCAGGGCTAAAGGTAACCGTCAGCATAATCGCCACTATGTGCCCAAGGAAACTGTTATTTCTTTCCTAATAAAAAAACAAACACAAAAGGATAAGGAATGAGGAGGTGGAGGAGGAAGCAAGAGATCACCCAGGGCAGTTGCAATAAAAGGCAGAAGAAACAAGAGACGATAACAGAGCAAATGGACAAGGGAAAGTATGAGATAATTAAAGGGTAGGTTTGGTGTTTTTTTTAAGGTTCTTTTTAAAACAAGACAAGGTCAGCATGTGATGGAAATAGCTCGTATCAGCTGGGGTCCAATCCACACCACACTTTTAAAGCACACGTCTTCCCCCAAAGAATCCTGGCAACTGTAGTTTACCGTTCACAGAGCTACAATTCACAGCACCCTCGACAAACTACAATTCCCAGGATTTGTTTGTAGGAATACATGTGCTTTAAATGCACTTTAAGATAATGGTGTGGATGTCACCTAAATCTTTAAGGTCTGGTCAACCCAGCCAGGCAAGCGCCATCCTCCTAAGTCCTTGTAAACAGCTTGTTTGATTTGGGTGTGTTTAGTTTCCTCTGTGGATCAGCGCCTGTCATTCAAAACAGACCTGCGTCCCAGCTTTTGCCCTATCATTTTGACGATGATAACTCGGTATCCTTTGACTGATTTAGAGCAAAGGTGCAGAATCTGTGGCCTCTAGATGTTACTGGACTCCAGCTCCCATCCGCCCCGGCCAGTCTGGCCAGCAGTCAAGCATAATGGTCAATGGGGATGACTTCTTTGACCATTCCTGAACAGGGAGAGCTTGGCTACCGTAGTTGATGAACTGGTGACTTCAAGACTGGATTACAGTACTGCAATGCATTCTATGTGAGACTTCCCTTGCGCTTGCCCTGGAAACTGCAGTTAGGCACTAGTCTGACACTCTAACCACTGCACATCACTGTCTCCCCACCCCTATGGAAAAGGAAGGTTGCTGTAGGTAAACAGGAACTGGTGGCCTTAGGGACCTCCTCTCCTTTGAGTTTCAGCCATATCGTTCTGCTCTCTTTGACAGTCCCACCACAGCCACCTGTCATCAGGGGATACGATGGCCCCACAGTAAAAGCCAAGGACAAGGTAGAGCTGACCTGTATTTCTTTGAGTGGGAACCCACTGGCTACTCTGCAATGGCTAAAGGTGAGTGGGGGAACTTTGAGGCGCTAGTCTTTTTGTACTGACTTGTTTGCTGAGTTGAGTTCCCCTTCCCCCCCATTGTGCTCTGGGGAGAGGGGAGCTGTTTTCGTGTGTGCACAATTCTTTTCTTTTTTTGTGGGTGGGACGACAAATCATTTGCTATTGGAGAAAGCCCAGATCCTCCCCCAGGTGTCTGGAGTTTGGGATACTGTACAGCAGACCATTGCTCCTGCTCTCCTTAACATTTGGGTGGACATTTCTGTGACTTCCAGGCTGTAAATGCAAAAGCGTCCCAGTGAGTGCCACCTGGTGGTAATTATTCTGTTAGCAGCCAGTGAGGGACCTGCAGCCAGATTTTCTGACAGGCTATATGTTATAACCCCACAATTCCCCTTCTGCTACATCAGCAACAGTACAGCCCTTCCTGTCCCATTATCTGGTGTGGAGTTTTAGCTCAGCTTTCTGTTCTCTTTGATCTCTTCCTGCATTCCTCAATCCACTCTGTCTGTCTTTTAGCCCTTGGCCTCTTCCACCTTCTCCTTGACTTGCTGCAGCCTCCATGTTTTTTTTCCAGTCACCTGGCCTTCTTCCCTGCCTCCTCCATCCTTGTTCCTGGTGCGTCTTCTTCTCTTTCAGCACCCCAGCCTCCCCTCTGTGTTTCTCTTCCCTTTCCCCCTTCTTTATAACAGTAGCTCAGTGTTCTGTGATTTTCCCTTCCCTCTCATCAGTTGGAATGCTCATATACATTCATTGGTGACAAAGCAGCTAAGGATTGCTCAATGTATTGTGGCTCTCACACGGTTTGAAACAGCCTGCCTATGGCAGTTGCTCCACATGGTGGCTGTTCTACTGAGGAAGAGCCACAGAGCACACGGCATTCACACAGAAGACCCAAGATTCAATGCCAGACTTCTACAGGAATGCCCCCTGCCTGAAACTCTGGACTGGCTGCTCCAAGGGGTATAGCTAGATAGACCAGGAGTCTTACAAGCACTAGAAAGCAGCTTCCAACATCCCTGAGGTTTTCTAGTGATGGTGCATAGAGGTTTTATGAATGGCAGCAGCAATCCACATGTTGTCCAATTTGTATATGGTGTTACAAGGTTTGCTGGGCCCTAGGCTCTATCCTCCTTCTCCTGGTCTCTAAGAGAAGGAAGGAAAGAAGTCTGTGAGCCCAAAATAGGTTATTTCCCTGCTTGGTTTGAGAACATTTGCTATTTGCTCAGCCCCTGTGCTCATTGAGCTCCAAAGTCATGGTGCATTAGGGCCAGCCAGGTGTTTCTGACTGCCTACTGCTTCTGTCCTCTGCTCCTATCCTGGCATACTCCTACTAATTTATTTATACCCCACTCATCTGTCTGGGTTTCCCCAGCCACTCTGGGCAGCTCCCAGCAGAATATTCAAAACACGATAAAACATCAGACATTAAAAACTTCCCTAAACAGGGTTGCCTTCAGATGTCTTCTAAAAGTCAGATAGTTGTTTATTTCCTTGACATCTGATGGGAGAGCATTCCACAGGGCAGGTGCCACTACCAAGAAGGCCCTCTGCCTGGTTCCCTGTAACCTCAATTCTCGCAGTGAGGGAACTGCCAGAAGGCCCTCGGAGCTGGACCTCAATGTTTGGACTGAACGATGGGAGTGGAGATGCTCCTTCAGGTATACTGGGCACTGCCAGGCCCCTCCCCTATCTTGTCAACACCCCACCCTTCAGCTTCCAGGCTCTTCTCCCTGGATCTCAGCTATGGGCTTGTGCCTTACAGAACGATGAAGTGATTTCCACGAACTGGGAGACGGACAACGCTGGCCAATTGTCCCGGAGCTCCCTCAGCCTCAGCATCACAGCAGAAGACAACATGGCTACAATCAGCTGCCAGGCCTTGAACCAAGTCTTGCCCCTTCCCCTGCAAGCCAGCATCACTCTGCACGTGGTCTGTGAGTGTTGGGACTGTCCCTTCCCAAAGCATGCCTGGGTAGTTTGTCATGAAGTTGACTTGTTTCAACCAGGACTTGACTGAATATCCTGCCCTTCCTTTCCTGGGACCACTCATTCCCATAGAAGTATGTGTGTAGGAGGGAGATATTTGGTGACTTGGGGAGGGGGCAAGCAAATGCTCATTTGTGGGTGCTGTGGCCATGCTTTCAAGCACGAGGTTGCCATTGTGTGTTCTTTTTGCAATACAATAAGTCTTTCCATCACTTCAAGTGACAGTAGATCACTAGTATTCCTGGAATTAAATGCCCCAATGGGAAAAATGCTCCCTCGTGATAGTGTTATTCCCAGAGGAACTTTTCGGAGGGGAAGATTGGTCAAGGAGCAATGTTTCTTTAACTTTTATTTTAAAAAGTAGTTGAAGGAAGACAAAATCCACATCTAACATATCTTTCAAGGTAATATCACCCCTTGAACATTCTTAGGAATTCACCCCCTGAAAATTAACCTTGTCTTCAGAAGCATATTTCCCCCTCCCCACCTTTGCAAAACTTACAAAATTAACTGGGCTCAAATACTTTGACTCAGCACTGGTTCCAAGAAACCATAGTTAAGATTAAGTTCATTTTAGGGTTCAGATGGAAAGGTAAACTGTGGTTATTTTAAGACAGACGTGAAGCCTCCAATCTCCTCCTTTCCACCAGAAGAGAGGGATGGGGAGTACATGCACCCAAATCTCTCCTTGTCTCCTTCCTGTAACTAGAGCTTTTTGCTATGTTTGAATACAGACACTATCCTGCACAGGGCTGTCTTAAGCATATGTGGCACCAGGGTGCAAAGATCCGCCCGCCCCCCCCCCCAGGTTGCCCAGTCCCAGGTGCGCAGGAGGGCGGAGCTGGCCAGCCGCCTCAGCGTGTCGCTGGCTCGGTCGCCCCCGAACTTGCGGCACAGCAGAAGAGTCCACTGCGGTGCTCCGACCAGTGGGCGGGCTCTTCCCCAGACTCAACTTTTGGGCCCCAGACTCTAGGCCTGGAGCCCCTGGGAGCCTGGCGCCTGGGTGCCCCGCACCCCTATTGCCTATGGGTAGGACGGCCCTGATTTTGCATACCCACTAAACCAGCAGTTCTCAACCTGTGGGTCCCCAGATGTTGTTGGACTACAACTCCCATCACCCCTAGCTAGCAAGGCCAGAGCTCAGGGATGATGGGAGTTGTAGTCCAACAACATCTGGGGACCCACAGGTTGAGAACCGCTGCACTAAACCTTTAAGGCACATTTACCCCCTCAAATAATACTGGGCACTGTGGCTTACACTTCACAGAGTTACAATTCCCAGCAAGCCTTGACAAACTACAACACCCAGAATTCTTTGAGACGAAAAATGTGCTTGGGGTGTATACGCAGCCTCAGCCACTAGGTCCATTTTGTAAACGACGACAACAACCTTGCTTCCCTTCGCAAAAGTCAAGCATGTTGTACTTTCCCAGAGGCACTTGGAATGACAAACAAAACTGCAACCAACTTTCTTCTCCTGGTGAAAGGGAAAGAAGGACACAATGATTTGAAAACAAAAATGGGCACATCTAAGTCTTGCACTGGGTGACTAATATCCTTCTCTCTCCCCCCCACCCACCCCCGGGCTCTACCTTTTGGATGACAGTTCTCCCCGACCAGGTGAAAATCATAGGCTCAAGTAGCACCGAGGAAAACAAGGAGGTCTCGCTGTCTTGTTCCACCTCTGCCAGCAACCCACCTGTCTTGCTGCGCTGGTGGCTGGGCTGGAAGGAGCTCAACGCCACAGAGGTCACTGTGTCAGAGGTAGGCAATAGCAGGGGCCCATCCTGCTAGGAGGCTGAGTGAGATGGGTCCTATGTGGACGGTAATTAGAGGGCGTCAGTGGACGTTTCATCCTCTCTTGTTCCTGAGCTAAGGATGGGGCAGGAATTTGAAGGAAAACTTGTTTAATCTGCACTTTCTGAAATGATAGATGAACTAAAACACAGCTGCCCTTTGAAATTCGCACTTCTATGAATGTTGCAGTGCACATAATGTGTACAAAAATGTGTACCCTGGAGTCAAAAGTGCATCAGAAGGCATGCGTAAGAAAAAATAGGAGACAAAAATGCATTCTGTGAGGAGGAAGTGCTTTGTAAAAATGTGCGTATTGGGCAAAATTGTATAAAAATACAGTGGTACCTCTGGTTATGTACTTAATTCATTCCGGAGGTCCATTCTTAACCTGAAACTGTTCTTAACCTGAAGCACCACTTTAACTAATGGGGCCTCCTGCAGCTGCCACGCCGCCGGAGCACAATTTCTGTTCTCATCCTGAAGCAAAGTTCTTAACCTGAGGTAATATTTCTGGGTTAGCGGAGTCTGTAACCTAAAGCCTATGTAACCCGAGGTACCACTGTATATGCATATTGAGAGAGATTTGCACTAAAATGCTGCTGAGTTTTCATGAGGACTTGTCTTTATTTGGGTTTGTTTTTTGTTTTTTTGGTGCAAAGTGTTATGTGGAAAGGTGAAGAACTGAACTTGAGATTGGGAAAATGAGAATGGAGAAAAACCAAAATTGACAGATTCTCCCTTCCCTACTTTTAGATGTCGCCTTCCAACTTTTCCAGACAAACAGGAGATTTTTGAATCCAGGGGGTTGTGTGGGGGCACAAAATGGAGGTGAGGCGGTACATTATGGCAGAGTCCTTTGGGACACTCTCTCTAAGGGTGTCCCAATTTGGAGAGTACTCTCTTTCCAGGGCCTCCTAGCCGATGGGTTCCCAGTGGAAAGGTTCCAGCCCATCAGAGCCTGGGTTGGGGTCCACCACTTCCACCGCTGGTCTTCTGAATCCAGTGGATTCCATTGTCTCCATGTCAAGACTTATCTGCTGGTTCGGATCATGACAGGGAGGGCCTGAAGCATGAGTTTAGGGGCCATGAGCGTGGGAAAGTAAGGGCCTCTGAGAAGACTGTACTGTCCCAGATTGTAGGGGAAGTAAGAACATTGTATGGGCATTGAGGAAGGTTGTAACTCAGTGGTAGAGCATCTGCCTTTCCTGCAGGAAGACCTAGGTTCCGTCTCTGGCATATCCTGGTTGGGTTTGGAGTTTCCTCTTCTCTGAAGCCCTGCTGCCAGTCAGTGTAGACAATACCAAGTTAGAGGGACTTGTGGACTTTCAGAGTGCTGGGAAATCAGGGAAACAGCCATTTTGAAACCAGTTGTTTAGATCTGCCTCTTCTCCCTTCTCAAACTGACAATTGCTGACTGAGGCCTGATATCCTCCTACAGGCAGCTCATGGCGGGATGATCACAGTGTCTAACATCACATACACAGCACGCCGTGAGGACAACGGATTGTCTCTGATCTGTGAGGCCTTCAATGAAGCCATCCTCTATGCCAAGAGTGCTACCGTGACCCTCCGAGTACAGTGTGAGCAGGAGGGATGATTGTGTGTGTGTCATGGCAACGGTTGTCATGTGTGACGTGTTTTGAATCCCCCCTTCTCATATCTGTTTCCTCCTTCTCTTCCCCATTCTTGTTTTTGTCCTTCAGATCCACCTCAGAAGATCTGGATTGATGTGCCACCCCCAGAAACATGCTTTCGAGCTGGCACCGTAGTCAAGCTCACCTGCTTTGCCAGCGGCGGACACCCTCTGCCTCGCCTCGAGTGGTACAAGGTGGTCCAGCATTACTGCCTCCAGGGCCAGCGCTACCATTAGGCTGGGTTGGGAAACTTTTTCAGCCTGAGAGTCAGTGGTGGTGGTTGAGGAACAGAGGCAAAACTTGGCAGAACAACGAATGCAAATTTTATCTTTGTACAATAGGCTTGTTTCTAGACACCCATCCTCATACGCTGTCCTTCTTCTTGGCAACCAAGGGACATGATCAGCGTTCAAGGGCACATCACAGCCAGGCAAAAATACCTGAGGAAGTTGTGAAGCCAGGACAGTGAGGGGCATGGTCTGGGGTGAGAGGGTATGGTTGGGGAGGGGCTGTCACCCAGAGAGAGTCTCAAGGACCCAGGTAGGAAGGTCTGGAGGCCAAATTTGGCCCCCGGGTCTGAGTTTCCCCTCCATTGCATTAGACAAAGTGAGGTAGATGACAAATGGTAGATGCTGGGGGCAGTAGAAGCGACCCCATGGCTCTTCTTCCTAAGGACCCCTGGCCAGTCCTGAGTGATGGGTGCCCAATTGGCCAATCCCCCCAGAGTGGCTGCCTCTCCGCTTACCCCCACTGCAATCTGGATTCTTTCTACAGGAGAGCAAAGTAGTGAGGGACAGGACAACTCCGGGGTCATCGGGGAACATTGTCTCCAAGGAGCTGCTCCTCACCACGACTGCCAGCGACAACATGGCTGCTTACTACTGCAAGGCATTTGGAAGTTCCAGAACCCCAGCGCTCACTGCAGAGACTCGCCTGCACGTCCAGTGTAAGCTTCAACACTCATGTGCACCCTTCCGGCCTTGATCTGAACGGAGGGCGTGTTTGCGGGGGGACATGTGACTGAGACATAAGAGCAAGATGCTCAAGAGAAATGTAACTGTCTACAGAATCACAGAACTGTAAAATTTTAATGGACCTCAAGGGAGAATTAGTCGAATCCCCTGCAATGTCTATCAATGTCAACGTGGTTCCCCATCTATCTTCTCCATCCTGGGGCTGGGGCAAGTCTGGGTAGTGGCAAGTCTGGGGCTGCACCGGCGGAGCCAATCTGACCACTTCACTGGTGCGACTGCAGAGCCCCAGCCTCGTGGCCACCTGCCCCAGCCGCATCTAGGCAGGCTGCAGTAATGCCAATGTCAGAAAAGTGGCTCCATCCCAGTGGGTGGGACAATACCAGGTCCACCAGGCAGCAGGAGAGACCTGATGGATACGTCCGAGCCCCTTTAAACCCAACCAGTTTCCTTGGAGGGGATGGAGCTTGAGACTGCCACCCAATGATGGTGAGGCTGCTTAAGCTCATTGTTTGCTCCAGACTAAACCATTGATGGGACAATGTTCCAAGCTGGCTGCTCTTAGGTGCCTTGTGTACATCCTGCCTCTGTATTCAGAACCACAGTGAGCTGTCCGTGGTCCTGCCCTCCTCTGAAGCAGCCTGGGTGTCTGCTGAGCTTCACCAGTATATTGTGCAGGGTGCAAGGGCAATATGCCAAGTTATAGCATCTAGCTCACTATTGTCGACAGTGACGGGCAGCGGTTTCCCATGGTTTCAGGCATAATAAGTCTGTTTCCAGCCCTAGCTAGAGAAACCAAGGGTTAAACCTGGGACCTGTTGCATGCAAAGCCCCTCTCTCACTGAGTGGCAGCTTTCACACACAGTCTAGTAGAGGGTGCCTGGGAAGCCACCCTGGGCTCCTTTGGGAGGAAGGGTGGGATATAAATAAAATAAAATTGATGACTCAAGCAAGCAAGCATCCTGGGAAGAAGACTGGGCTTTAGAACTCCTGCCCTGCTAGCTTTCCAAATGCAAATGATTTACGATATGGGTGAAACCCATAAATATGGGATTTCCCTCTTCTATTATTTTAAAGTGATAGCATCCATAAGCAAGAAATATTCTTTTTGGCTTGTTTGTTTCTGGTGTATTGATAAGCTCAGCCCCAAGAGTTGTGGCACCACAAGCGGAAAGATGGGACCTGAACATAGGAAGCTGCCTTTTACCAAATCACGGCACTGATCCATCCAGCTCAGTATTGTCAACACTGGATTGCCGTGGCTCTCCAGGATTTCCAGAAAAGAGGCTCTCTGAGCCCTATCAGGAGATGCCAGGAAATGAACCCAGGGCCTTCTGCATGTGAGCCAGAGGCTCTGCCACTGAGCTATATCTCCTATCTGTACCTCAATGCAGAAGGTCTGAATACAGACCTTATACGATCTTCCCCAATCCACACCCGTCAATTTCTTCTGAATCACAACTCCCATCATGGTCACTGTGGCCAGGGCTGGTGGGAGTTGTAGTTTAAGGCATCTGGAGGGCAGCAGGTTGGGGAAGGTTGGCATGGAGGGTAGAGCTAGGAGGTGGCGCCGAAGCCTGAGTCTTGACAGCCAGCCGCTTTCTTTCCACAGTCCCGCCCCTAAGCGCAAAAATTACGGTGACAGCCAAGGAGGTCAGACCTGGCCAGTCAGTGACTCTTCACTGCAAATCAGGCAGCAGCAACCCTCCCGCCAACCTCACCTGGCTCAAAGATGGGAAAAGGTAAGAGGATGTCTGACTTCCCCAATGCCCATCCTACATCAGCTTCACCTGCAGGTCTCTCTATATCTTCAAAGGCCCTTGTCCATTTCTGCCAGGGCTAGTCCAATACATTTTGGAACCTTGGGTAGGATTGTGTCCTTTGACCTCTCACTCTTTGCTCCTCCAGTTTGCTGGAACTTCTTAGGGCTCAGTCATGGACAAAGGTGATGTGGACACCCACAGTCTCTCCAGCTTGTTTTCCTGTGTGTATTATTATTATTTCCACTTATAGAGCAGTTATTATCCAAAGTTCTCCAAGTGGTTTATAGTAGGTCAGCGTTCTTCAGCCTTGGATCTCTAGATACTGTTGGGTGACAGCTCCCTTCATCCTTAGCCTTTGGCTAAGTTGGCTGTGGTTGATGGGAGCTGCAGTCCAACAGCACCAGGGGACCTGGAGTTGAAAAACACTGCAGTAGGTTACATATGAATATAAGCATTGTAAGTAAGGCAGAGGGCCTTCTCGGTAGTGGCGCCTGCCCTGTGGAACACCCTCCCATCAGATATCAAGGAAATAAACAACTACCTGACTTTTAGAAGACATCTGAAGGCAGCCCTGTTTAGGGAGCTTTTTAATATCTGATGTTTTATCGTGTTTTGAATATTCTGCTGGGAGCTGCCCAGAGTGGCTGGGAAAATCCAGCCAGATGGGCGGGGTATAAATAATAAATAATTATAGTATTATTATTATATAAGTACCACAAAAACCATGCTCGGGAGTCACAAGTGGGCAGAGTTGCTGTTGTCCTCAGGTCCTTCTTGGAGGCTTTCCGTAGGCATATTTTTGGCTACTGGGAGAACAAAATTCTGGACTAGATGTGCCAATGGCCTGATCCAGCACAGCTTTTTCTTGTTCTTATAAGTTCTTGATAAGTTATTGTTAGTAGTGTTTCTTCTTCAGGTTGAAGGCAACTAACCCAGAGCAGAAGAAAGCAGAATTTGGAGGGTTTTCCACTTCAGGAAAGGTGACTCTAGTGGTGTCATCTGCAGATCATGGGATGAGAGTAGAATGCCATGCATACAGCTCTGTCCTCTCTGAAGGTGTGAATACCTTCTACCAGCTCACTGTCCTATGTAAGTATGAAGTAGGGAGGGGAGGGAAGTTCAGTTCAGTTTTACATTTGAAGGTGAACCTACCTAAAATGAATGCAAAGCTACCTAAGCCACACTTTCCGAAACAATGTGTGAACCGAAAAGCATCCGCCCTTCAAAATGCATGGTTCTCTGAATTTTGCACTGCAGTTCCCCAACCATTTTTGTAATGTGCATAGGCTAGAGTAAAATGTGCATAGAAATGCATGAAAATAACAAAGAAAGATGTATTGTATTAGGGAAAACAGCTTGCAAATAACCTAGCATATTAGGCAAAACTGCAGAAAATATGTATATGGAGAAATGTAAAATAAAATGCTGTTGGATTTTCACAAGGATTTCAAAAACCATTTTGCAAACTGACGGAGAAATGAGGAAAGCAAACTGGAAGGAACAACCAGGAGGCGGGAGCTGTCACTCATGTGTGTCTTCCATGACCACATTGCAGTTCATTGGGCTGAAATCATGGTTGATTTGTTTACAGTTTTAGCATGTGTTGTCCCCAGGGCGGATGTAAGGCAACGTTTACCCAGAGGGTTTCTGTGGAAGCTCTTTGAAATGTAAGCCTGGCAATTTGAAATGTACCAGCAACAACCTGCCATATGCTCATATTAGACACCTTTGGGCTTCAAGAAGCAGGAGGGAAAGTCAGTGGGAAAGTCATCTGAGAATCCCTTATTCCTCTGCTTTTTGCACAGTTCCCCCAGAGTTCTCCTCTGAGCAACCTCTAGTAGTGCAGGCTGTGGAGCACGGAGCTGTTCAGCTGCCCTTGCTGGTGTCGGCCAGCCCTCCAGACATCACCTATCGCTGGAGCTTCCTTGGTGAGGTACTCTTGACAGGTGGGTCCAGCATCATTCTTGGAGTGAAGTCCCAAACTGTTGCTGTTATTTTGTCACCAGTGTGCCCGTCTTTTTGCAGACAAATGAGACTGGTCCTGGCTACAAGGATCTTCCAATCAAAGGGCCAAATTAGATGGGGCATTGAATATCTTTGCATTTAATTTGCACTTTTTAAAAAATGCAAATAGCATCCACACAGTGAGTTATGATAATCACCTGGCTTGCAGCAAGTCAGGAGGAATTTTACCATTTCCTCTCTGGCTGCGGTTCTAAGGAAAATCCTCCTTTTGAAGCTATTTACACTGGAAGGAAAATATATTTGTTGACTAATACAGGGGTAGGGAACCTGTAGCCCACACACTGTTGCTGCACTCCACTTCGCATTATCCCTGACTATGGGCCATGCTATCTGGGAGGGAAGGGAGTTGGAGTTGAACAAATATCTAGATGGCCACAGGTTCTCCATCCTGAGTTAATATGCCTCCTGGAATCCTTAGCGGGCTTCATCCTTCTGGTGAAAAAATATGCCTTGCAGCAAAAGGGTAAATTGTGGAATGACAGCTGGGTGGGCCAGTGTCAGGAGCAATAAATCACACGGGATCAGCCAACTTAACTCTTTATTCAAGGAAACAAGGTCTGCCTAGTGAGCACAGCAAGTCATCCCAGTAGGTCTTGCCCCTATGAGGCAGTTGTGGAGATTGAAGGTCCCCGCCTCCCCACAGTTGCCTAAGTCTCCCCCTCCTCTGAGTCCTTTCTAAGTAATCTGAGATTCTGTCGCTGTGCCTGTCTTCACTCCTCCCTCTTCATAACTCTTTTGGTTCTGGGAGACCAGCAGGGAGGGGAGCTGGTCACAGCAGCAGGAGGAGACACCCTGGCTTCCTCACCAACCTGACTCATCTCTGCCTCTTGGCCTCCTCTCTTGCCTCTGATTCTGGACTGCTATCTTCCCCAGACTCTCCCTGCTCACTAAACCCTGTTAGCTCTTCAACTTCCAATCATTCCTCCTCCCAGGCTTTGCCCTCTAACCACTCATCATCGTCCCATCACCAACCCCTGCCTCTGAGTCTTCTTCCCTTGGGGGTTCCCCAGTTGCTGCCTCCTGCCACTCCTCTGCATCCAGCCAGTCCATGACAGCCAGCCTGCTCTCTTTCTCTCTCTGGTCTGCTGCTCGCCTGTTCCTAACCCAGTGAAGACTGGTCCATTAGGCCCAGTTGGGCATTGCCCCACCAAGCTCAGCTGTCCTCGGCTAGCCCCCACTTGCTTACCTCCTTAATTGCAAGGGCTATCAGCTTCCTCTTCCTGAGTCTCAGGGTTGCCTTTGTAGAGCTCAGCTGGGCGGAAGACAGGGACAAAAAAACAGAATTAGTTCACTTTCCCTGTCATTGGTTCTGGCTCCATGACCTCTGCCCCACCAGGTCCAATAGCCAACAGCCACCACTGTCCTTGGCCCTTGCTGAGAGCCAGTGTGGTGTAGTGGTTAAGAGCGGTAGACTCGTAATCTGGTGAACCAGGTTCGCTTCTCCACTCCTCCATATGCAGTTGCTGGGTGACCTTGGGCTAGTCACACTTCTTTGAAGTCTCTCAGCCTCACTCACCTCACAGAGTGTTTGTTGTGGAGGAGGAAGGGAAAGGAGAATGTTAGCCACTTTGAGACTCCTTCAGGTAGTGATAAAGCAATATATCAAATCCAAACCCTTCTTCTTCTTCTTCTTGTCTGCAATGCTTTCCTTAAGATTGGTCGCCTCTCTGTCTTCCTTAGAGGGTTCCCCACGGTATCACCTGCGGGATGGTGGCTCTCTAGAGATCTGGAACCTGACCAGGGCGGATGCTGGCAAGTACAAGATCTACTGCGAGAACCCAGAAGGCCACAATGAAACGGCCCTCTTGTTGGATGTGCAGTGTGAGTATCAGGTGGAGAGGGCATACCATGTATTCTGTCACTTGAAGGATGAGGGGCCTCATCTGTGCTTTTCTGTCCTTTGTGATTATAGCTCTGACATGCTCTCCTCTGCCTTCCTTCTCTTGGTGTCTCAGCACACATCCTCTCGCAGCTGGCCTGGGTTTAGCTTCATGCCTGCTCTTGGGAACCAATGCTACATCACACTCTCTCTTTGTGCGGTGGTGTAACATAGGAATGGGCAAATCCTTCGGTTTCAGTTTCCATCATTTCCCCAATCAGCAGTGCTATTTGTCACATTTCCCGTTACACACACACACACACACACACACACACACGTGTGCATCCCTAAGGCGGTCGGATGGTGCCTTGCTCACCTCCTTCTGGCAACTCCTGAAGCCCAACCAGTGCCAGACATATTGCTCTGCTTTCCTTTGGACCACATCAGCAAAGCTGAGAGGGGTTCTCAACATTTGGGTAGCCCAAGACCTCCATACACCCTGGCCAGGCTTTTGCCCCAGAGAGGTGGTTTGAGTTCACTCCCAGAGGTGTGCTCCATTCTCTCTCTGAACAGCTGGATGCCAGCAACGTATACTTACTCTCTCTCTCTCTCTCTCTCTCTCTCTCTCTCTCTCTCTCTCATCTCTTTATGACATTTGTCAGCATTTTGGAGTTCACTTCTTTTAATATACACATATTTGAATGCCATCTTACCTAATGAACACACCTTTCCCAGCAATTTCCCTTAATATACACTAGTGGCCAGAATTGTGGAAACCTTTTGGAAGAAGTGTATTTCTGAGGTTTGATGGCTCATAACACCACTTTTTTTTAAAAAAAGTAATACCATAAAATTACATATCAGTGGAAAGATAATTTAATGAAGAATGCAATGCAACAAAGTTTGTTCACTTATCTGTATTCTATAAAAAGGTTATAGCCAAATAACCAGAAAAAGGAAGCACAACTTGCTTAGGTTGATATGCAGTAGGTTTCCTTCATTTCAGTGTAGCCAATGAGCATGAGCGTTTATGAGCAATCAAACTTGGGAAATACACTTTCCCCAAAAGGTTTCCACAATTTTGACCACTAATGTAATTCACTTTCATATGCAATGTTTATAATTCTTTTTATTTATTATTGTGCACACTTTCCCCTCTTAGACGCTTCTTTGGTTGGGAAACTGCATTGCTAAGTGTGCATTTTGCAGGATAGCTGCTTTGGGGGAGTAGCTATTGTTTCAGGATATGTGAATTAGTTAGATTTGCATTAAAATGTGGACCAAATTGAAATTCTTGCCTGTCGATAGCATGCCACGTACCTTTCCCCCCATGAACAGATTCGCCATCCATCCGCAGCATTGGAGACCCAACCTATGTGGACCTGGGGGGCACAGCTGAGATTGAGTGCCAGGCGGATGCCAACCCCACACCTGCAAACATGTTCCAGTGGAGATGGCTGGTAAGTGGCTAGTCTAGACCAGAAGCTGAGGTTAAGGGTGGAAAAAGACTTTCTGTTTGCTTCAAGCTTTTACCCTGTGGCCCTGCTGATGATGCTGGACTACAAATCCCATTATTGCCAACCGTTGGGCATGCTGGCTGGGGCTCATGGGAGTTGGAGTCCAACTATATCTGGAAGGCTGCAGTTTCCTGACCTTTCCAGTCCAAGGGCCGCACTTCTCCTCTGGGTAACCTTATAGGGGCCACACGACAGTCCTGGGTGCACCCAAAGCCAAAATTGGGTGGAGAAATGGATGTGACTCTAATCGACATTCCAGCCATTCAAACAGCTGCATCTCTCCATCCTTGATGCAGGGGAGCAAGAGTCATGAGTTCAACTGTGTCAACAGTTCAATGACACAGTCCAGACAAGCAAGAGCACTGAAGGCGCTGTGGTTTTGTGACCTAGAGAAAATTCCGAGGACCAAGTGTAGAGGTTCTGGACAGGACTGGCCCACCCATGAGGGACCTGAAGCAGCTGCCACAGGTGGCAGAGTCCCTCAGGGTGGTGCCTCTGTGGATAATCCCCCTGCCACTGCCAGAGTCACATAGTTAAAGCAGCTTTTGGTGAGATCTTGTGGAGTTTGTGTAGGATCTCACCAGAAGTCACTGCCATGCAACCTTGGTAAGTAGAGGGGGAAGTGGTGGGGTTTGGAGGCGGCACCTTCCTGTTTCGCTACAGGCGGCAAAACAGGCTGGGCTGTCTCTAAGTCCCCCACCCCTGCTTATCCTCACTCCCATCCAAAATGCCACAACAGAGGCTGTTACTTGTGAGTAAGAGAGAGATCTTTATTCAGGCTAGGATGGTACAAACTCAGCAGCACACTCAGGGTCCATAAGACATGAAGCCAAAGTACACCAGCAACAAAGCCTTAAGCTGCTTTATTCTGTCAGCCAATAGTCTCACCAGACTATTTATTTCCGCACTTGGCTGCAATATATACTGAACGCCGATGCAATGTAGAGCATCTTTTCCTCTCGATGCCAATAGGTTTGCGGGTTTGTTTGCTCTCCATTTCATTAATGCTTTTAGAAATTGTTTATCGCACTTGCATTTATATTGATTGTATTACGCAGTTTTTATTATTAGGTTATTTGCCGCTCTGGGTACTTTTAGCAGAAGAGAGGGATATAAATAAACAAATAAATATTGACAGCTCCGTTGCGGCAGTAAAAAATATGAAACCCACTGCACCATGGTTAGTTTGCTTCCTCAGAGAACCAGACAGTTCTTACCCTGTTAAGCTGATGTGGCTTTGCTCAGCGAGGTGAGCTTTTCCTCCAAGTTGTTGCCTAACTTAATAGCAAGTAAACCTGGTTTTCTTTCTTCTTTTGCAGATTAGTGAGGCGTGTCTGGCACTGCCAAGGAGTGTTTAGGAACCCAAAATACTGTGATTTTAAAATGACTAGTGTAATTTGTAAGCTTAGACCCATCATAGCAAAAAATAATGGGTGAAGTCATGCCAAAGTCACATTTCAGTCTGCCATCTTGAATCAGAATGGTGCCAGGCACCCCAAAGTTAGTGAAGACTGCCGCCCCCAACCCCAGGAAACCTCACGTCAAGTTTTGCTACAATGACTTGGAGGTGGAGCAAACCCATGCAAAAAAATGGGCAAAGTCACACCAGAGTCATATTTTCTACTGCCATCTTGATTCAAACGGCTCCCAGAACCCAAGTTTCAACATAGACCACTCCCCTCCATCTTGGAAACGCTTGTGCTGAGTTTGATGATGGTATCTTGAAAGGCAGCTGAACATATAGAGAACCAATGGACAACCCCTTTTCCAAAATATGTAGTAGATCTATTTATTTATAAACCGCTTCACAGCCAAAAGCTGTGTATAATAAGATCAAATGAGATAAAACAAAAGATTGCAGGCTCTATGGACTAAAATAAAATAAAATAAAATAAAATAAAATAAAATAGTTTCTACAGTATATTTCTACGATTGTGCATGCTTCTTTCCTGGGTGCTGACAGCTGGAAGATGCTTATTTTAATGGAATTATTATTTTTTGCCTGCAGCTCCTAGCCAGTTGACACAACCCCGTTTCTTAAGTGAGGGGCAGGGATTATTGCCAGTGAAAGTGACGAGTCAGTTTTTGTAGCTAGCAGGCAGGAAAGGCTCCAAGGATATGGTGTTGTTTTGTGTGACCTGATATTCTTTTAGAGCAGGGGTAGGTAACCTTTGGCCCTCCAGAAGTTGCTGAACCACAATTCCCATCATACCTGGCCATCAGCCATGCTAGGTCCAGCAACATCTGGAGGGCCAGAGGTTACCCACATTTGCTTTGTAGAACCTTTCTCACCCTGGTGCCCCCCAGATGCTTTGGAGTACAAGTAAAATAGTGATAGGGACTGTTGATTTGGTGACGCAGTCTAGGCCAGTGGGTGCCATGCCAAACCCTGTCCAATACACTAGCCCTCATTGGGTCCCCCCCAGTCAAGGTTTGAATTTGCTCAGTGGCAACCCAGAGGAGCAAGGAGTAAAGCTTAACCAGCAAAACCCACAGGTTCAAGATTAGGACTGGAACTAATAGCTCAGTTTATTATTGTACAAAGCTGAACAGTTTTATGAAATGCTCTTCTGAAAGTTTATAGGACTTACAGAAAATAAAACAAAAGATATAAAATAGAACGTCCAAAAATAAAGCAATTTACATTTGATGAAATGTAAAGCAATTTGATGTCACTTGCATAAATTAATTAATGGTTTAGTTACAGTGTGAGCTAATAAATAGCACCGAGAAAGCAACTGATCTGAGCAAGTTACATGGTCTCCTCCTAACCCCCTCCACCTAGTTCTAAAACTATTCTGTAGTATAGTAGATCAATAAATTTCATAGCTACCAGTCGAAGACAATAGGTCAGACTTCAGCACAAAGGTGCATAGGTGGGAGACAGAAAGAAAGAGGAAGAAATATAAATCATACAACCTACCCACAATGCCTTCAAAGAACCAACTAATCCCTCCCCCCACATATAGACATTTTTGTTTCAATCAGTAATTGAAAATGGGGCTGGACTTTTCCATCAATTTTGCATAATTTCACTACTTGTGTAGGCAGATCGTCATAAGACGTGGAACATGAATGGCCATAATCTATTTGGGAAGGGGGAGAAAAAAAGAGAGTAATTGAGATACCTGCTGTATCACTTGTGCTCCATGCAGGGCACATGGGCATATGACAGCTGTCATGGGCTGACTGGGAACCCCCAAGGAAACCCCCAGGGGAAGAAGGTTCAGAGCCAGGGAATTGATGGTGGAATGATGATGAGTGGTCAGAGGGAAAAGAGGGACCAGACTGGAAGAAGGAGGTGTCAGAAGCTGAAGAGGCAACAAGGTTTAGTGAGTGGGAAGAAGCTGTGGCAGAGAGCAGTCCAGAATGAGAGGCTGAAGCAGAGGCTGGGGGCGGGGCAAGAGGCAGAGATGAGTCAGGCTGGTGAAGAAGCTGGGGGGGGGGGGTTCTCTTCCTGCTGCTGTTGTCAGCTCCCCTTCCCCGCAGGTCTCAGGGCGGTTCACAGTATAAAATTGCAATATAAGATGAAGGTGTGCTGGAGAAGGAACCAGGGGAGGAGTCTTAGAGAGTGATGGGAAGATGGAGACCTTTGGTCCTCGCGACTGCTTCTTTGGGGGCAAGACCTACTGGGAAGAGCTGATGTGATCACTAGGCCTGAGCTGTTTTGATTTCTTTGAATAAAGAAATAAGTAAGTTAGAAATTAAATAGTTATAACAAAAGGGGGGGAAACTGCTATGGAAAACAGCTTAGAATTTTTTTTCTCTGTAGCACCTTCTGGTGTTGCATGTTAATAACGCATTCAAATCACTGTTGTTGTTGTTGTTGTTGTTGTTGTTGTTGTTGTTGTTGTTTTACTAATGTAGCTGAGTCCCAGGTGTTTTATTGTTGACCTGCTCCTGACTCTGGCTCCTGATACCAGCCCTGGCTTGTCAAAATAGCTGCCTTTCATTTTTGCTTTGGCTTCGTGGCCATTTGCTGCGACTCTCCACTCAAAGTGCCTAAAGCAGCAAAGGTTTGTGCAAAGGTCCAGGCAGCTTACCCAAAAATGACACAGACGGGTGATAGCGTTGTCCACCTTAATCCATTATGGCTGCACCATGGTGTGCATTAGCATTTCTATAACGGCTGAGAATGCAAGCCTAGGTAGGCCCAGATTAAAAGGGAGCCTCCCCATTTGTCCCATGAGGCTATTTCAATGAAGGTACGTTGACCTGTCCTATACCTAATGTGTATGACATCAGATGGGCAGGTAAAGATGCAGCTGGGCCACAAAGAGGTTTGCAGGTCAGCTGTGGGCTGGGCTTTGCAAGCTCTGACAAGAAGCTGATCATTGGGGCTTGCAAAGCACCTTGCCTTAAAATTATTAAAATTCTTATGAGTTATATTGAAGGATAGCAACTGACTAATATCCAGAATGCAGTCCGGATTTCTGCAGAGAGGCCTCAGTTCTCAAGCATGCTCCAGTCAGTACTAAGAACTGATCCCTCTTATCTTGATATTGTACCCAGAACGATTTGGAGCAGAGCCTGGAAGAGCTGGGGATTGAATTGCAGTCGGATGGGCTGATAGGGCGACTTCGAGTCCAGGAGGCAAAGCGAGCCCATGCCGGACTCTACGAGTGTCAGGCGGACAATGGGATCTCCCCAGCAGCAAGGAGTAGCGCCCGCTTGATTGTTCGATGTAAGTTTCCTCCTTAGTATTTCTGCAACCCCAACCTCTATATTTTGCCCTGCCCCACCTTCCCTGTGTTCGATGTCCACCATTTATTTCATTCCAATTATATAAAGAGTAAGATATAAAGATATTGGGTTGTAGCCAATGCTGGTCTTACTCAGAGTAAACCCACTGAAATTCCTGGACATGACTAACTTGGGTCTGTTAATTTCAATGGGCCTACCCTGAGTAGCTGACTAGAACACATTGAGATCTATAACACTAGAAGGCTTGCAAACAGTAATAGAGCAACCCAGTGCTCAAAATTAAGCAGGCCGGCTCGGCTTTTTACTTATTGAACAAAATGTATAGATTGCTTAATCAAAAAAAAAGCAAAAGCCCCCAAGCAGTTGTCATAAAATGGCGTGAAATATTTATCAAAAATTACAGCTAAAATTAACATTCCTTTTTGTTTTAAAATGAACATGTGTTATGAAATGATCAAAGATACAGATAAAAGCAACAAAATTTAAATCTGAACCCATGTAATAAAACACCACAATACATAGCACTGTGTTCAACTCAGTTCTGCTCAGAGAAAACTCACTGAAATGAATGGGTCTATGTTATTTGTGTCCATTACTTTTACAGGGTCTACTCAGACTAATTTGGGATCCAGCCCCTTGAGCTCGTAGAGTAGGTCCACTGGAAAAGCCCATTAGTTTCAGTGGGTCTGCGTAGGACTCTCATCGGACACAACTCATAATTCATAATACCCACTGATTTACATAAACTTACGCAGTAAAATTGAAACAAGAATTAAATACTGTGGTTTTATTGCTTTTGAAGTTGGAGCTGAAACTCGGGTGGCTGTTGCAAATATGCTCAGTCTCCTCACAGACCATTCCCTTATGAATGCTGCAAATACTCTCATGATTTCTTCCTTGTTCTACTTCCCTCACTTGTACCGCAGACCCACCAGAGATCATCAAGAGCCCTGGACTGAGGAAAGTGGCGGCTTCAGGAGATGGGAGAAGCCAGGCAGCGCTCCAGTGCCGAGCCCAAGGTGTTCCCACTGTGCACTTTAGCTGGGCCAAGAATGGTGTGTCCCTTGACCTTCAGAGCCCCAGGTGAGAGTTCTCAGGTAAACAGGTAGGTCCTTGGTTCTCAGGTGAACAGGTAGGTAGCAGGGAACCTGATAAAAGGCATGAGAAGAAATAGAAGAATCCGTCAATTCTGATTCTTTCATTTTCTCATTTTCCCAGTCTTAACCTTGGTTCTCCACTTTTCTGTAGCAATTTGCTCCCCCCCCCCCGCTTAAAAAAGGAAAAATAGTGCATGAAAATTCTTGAGCCTTTTGGTGCAAATTTCGCCTGATAAGAACATTTTTGTATGCAATATTGACTGTTGTAGACATTTTTGCAAGCAATTTGCAGAGTGGCTGGTGCAACCCAGCCAGGTACAACAACAACAACAACAACAACAAAATTTCCCCATATATAATCCCCATTTGCATACCCACACACTTCCCCCAAATATATGCATTTTTGTAAAAAATTGTTTGGAGAACTGCGCTGCAAAATCCAGATAACTGCAAATTTCAAAGCCTGCCTGTGTTTCGGTTCTTGTAGTGTTTCGGAAGGAGCAAATCTGATCAAGTTTGACTTTAAATGCGAACTGAATCAAATTTCTCCTCCCATCCTTAGCCAGGAGCGGTTCATCTGTGGGGCGGAGCCACAACAATAATCTCCTGGCGAAAGCACGGCTGCTGTATGCCAAGAAGGGTCTGTGGTGAGGGCAGCGGCAAGGACACGGCTGCACAGATGCACTGGTGGGCGCATTAGATTGGCTCTGCTGGAGCATCTGCCCACCCCCAACCTTTCTGCCAATTCCCCCCTCTCCTTCCTGGAACACCAGCAACGCTGCTGATGGGAGGTTCGTGTGGTGGGCCTGCCCCTGCTAGGTGGGCCACTGCTGATATGTGAGGATGCTGTTGAGGTTCATGTCCTGCTCACAGGTTGTTCTGTCATCTGATTGGCCACTGCGAGAACAGGATGCTGGAGTAGATGGCTTGCTATATCATGTCCTTCCCAATGTCCCTATGTCCTTAGTTTGTCTTATAGTGTAAAGGCTATAGCATCATCTCACACTCTCATCCCTTGGTGCCCTCCTAGTTAAGTGCCCCAATAACCCTGCCATCTGCAGGAGCCTAATGTGCAAGTCTTCTGAGATGCATCTGAAATGTCAAATATTGTTTGATTCGAAGGTGTTGCAGGGGCAAGCGTCCAGGGACAAGCATCCTTCCGCCAATCCTGGGGAACCCTGCCTTGCTTGCAGGGCTGGGTTCCCCTTCATCCTGCATGCCTCTGTTGTCTCCCCCTTCCACTTACTCCAAAGTAAGCTCCTCTGTCCCGACACAGCAGAAGGAATAATAATAATAATAATAATAATAATAATAATAATAATAATAATTTATTTATACCCTGCCCTCCCTGGCCAGGGCCGGGCTCAGGGTGGCTAACGCAAAATATAAATTACAATAAAACGTAATAGAAAAAAACAAAAACAATTAAAATACGGCTTAAAATACAGCTTAAAATGCAGCCTCATTTTAGTGTAGCCCACAAATCAAGGCCATAAAGGGAGGAAACATCAGATATTCACCTGAGCCAGCTATCTATGCTGGTCCTATGTGGGCCAGCAAAAAAGCCAAGGGAAAATTTATATGCTGTTGATGGCAGGTGTTCTCGAGGTTTTTTGAGCATGTGTATAGGACCCTCACATTGTTTTCAGGGGAGGGTGTGGGATGCTCATGCAACCTGAGTTGTTTTCATCTCAGAAGGGGGGAGGGCAAGGAAAACCTGTGGTCTGCTGGTGTTGTTGGACTCCAACTCCCATCAGCCCCATGCAGTATGGCCAATGGTCAGGGATGATGGGAGCTGCAGTCCAGAGACATCCAAAGGGCTGCATCCCTGATGTAGGGAAACAGAAGGTGAATAATGGGAGCCGTGCTACTAAAATGTTCAGTTCAGTTCTGGCTCAGATTCAGTTCTGGCCTGAAGTTTGTTCTGACATGGATGCTGGCCAATTGAAGCAAATAAAGACCTGGCAAGAGGTCTGGTAGTCACCTGGACCCAGCCCAGTTCTCATTGAATTGGGAAAAGTTTGAAACACCACTAATGTTCCTGTGCTGATTTGCATAGCAGAATGGGGGTGGAGCAGCTTAACGCGTCTAATTTGTTCCAGCTAAATGTCAGCCATAACCCATAAATAGTATGAAGCATGTCTGAAATTAAAAATAACCAGAACACTTATCTGTAAGTTCATGCTTTATATATAAATTAAAAATGGGATTTTATTTTATTTATTTATCTTTTTTAAAAAAACATTTCAGGCAAATTCCACTCCTAAACCTTAAAGCAATTTTTATCCTGTTTCCTGCTTTAGGCATTTTAAGGGCAAGAGCTATTGTTGGCTACTAACCCAGATGTCTTTGCTCTACCTACACTGCTGGAGGCTGTGTGCTTCCAAATGCCATTTGCTGGGTACCTCAGAGTGAGAGGAGGATGCTGCTATTCTCAGGTCCTACTTTTGGCTTCTCCTGGGCATCTGGTTGGCAACTGTAAAAACAGGAGGCTGGATGAGATGGGCCACTGGCCTGATCCAGAAGGCTATTATTATTATTATTATTATTTATAAACTGCCCTTTGTCAAAAAACAACTACAGGGCAGTTTACAACACAGAACATAACAAAAAAATGTATGTGCAAAAAGAACATTATATCTAAAAAAGGTGAAGGTAAAGGTAAAGGACCCCTGACAGTTAAGTACAGTCGCAGACAACTCTGGGGTTGCGGTGCTCACCTCTCTTTACAGGCCGAGGGAGCTGGCGTTTTTCCGGGTCATGTGGCCAGCATGACTAAGCCACTTCTGGCGAACCAGAGCAGCGCACAGAAATGCCGTTTACCTTCCTGCCGCAGCGGTACCTATTTATCTACTTGCACTTTGAGTTGCTTTCGAACTGCTAGGTTGGCAGGAGCAGTGACTGAGCAATGGGAGCTCACCCCATCGCAGGGATTCAAACCACTGACCTTCCGATCGGCAAGCCCAAGGCTCAGTGGTTTAACCCACAGTGCCACCCACACCCCATTAGCATTATATCTATACGATACCCCCAAAAATCCTCAAACCAGTTATATAAATCGGCTCCACCTCTTTGTGGGGACACGTTGCGGGCAAGCCGCTGAGCCTCCCCCCTCAGCATGGTGGCAGGACTGTGTCCCGCCCTACACTGGGGAGGCCCAGCCATGCCAGGTAGGCAAGCGGGCAATCAGGCGGCTTGGGGTTGTGGCCAGGGCCAATTTAAACTATGGTGCGATGCTGAATCGCCCCTTTTCAGCCTTGCGCCCATTAACATTAACCTAAAATTCTGTGTCCTTGTGTCGTTATTCTCATGGGGGTGGCCTGGGGGCTTTGACACGCAAATGCAATTACAGTGGTACCTCTGGTTGTGAACGGGATCCGTTCCGGAGGCCTGTTTGCAACATGAAAGGAATGCAACCCACAGTGGCGCGTCTGTGCACACGCGGGTTGTGATTCGCCACTTCTGAGCATGTGCGTGACATCATTTTGCGCATTTGCACATGCACAAGCGGCAAAACCTGGAAGTAACCCTTTCTGGTACTTCCAGGTTGCCGCGGGACGTAACCTAAAAGAACATAACATGAAGCGGACGTAGCATGAGGTATGACTGTATAAGTATAAGGAATGGATGCTAAAATACAGATTCTCCTAAGCTAAGTTATTACCTGCTCATCTCAGGTACAACTAAATCAGTGCTGTTTTTCTAGAAAAAGAGGTGCCAGAAGTCACCACAAACACTTCCCTTGTTATAATGACAATGGCGCCCACATGAGAGGTGTCGGAACTGAGTTCCGGCTTGGAAAAAAAGCCCTGACTTTAATACACATCTAACAGTGAAGTCTTAAGAAATAAGGGGGGGGGGGGGGAATCAGCAGTACAGAAGCACTGCAGAAGGACACACTCTTCTCTCTTTGTAAAAGTAGCTCTTGATCTCCATCCCCGCAGAAAATGAAGTCCTTGTGTTCTTATTGACAGAGTGCTTCATTACATTGCAGCTTGCCTTCAGCTTCTGTTTTCAATGGGCGAACTGAGATATCATTTGTGTTTTGATCTTGAAGTACAAATCTGAGAAGAGCCCTTGTTGCATCAGCCAATGGCCAACCCCCACCCAGCATCCTGTTCTCACAGTGGCCAAACTGGTGCCTACAGGAAGCCTGCAAGCAGGAACTTAGAGCAACAACAACAGCCCACACTTGTGACCCCCAGCAATTGGCACTGAGGGAGCAATGACTCTGGAGGGAGAACATAGTCATCGTGGCTGGTAGCCACTGATAGCCCTATCCTCCACGAAAGATCTGGAAAGATTGTCAGTCGGTAGGAGACTGCCTAGCTAGCTCAGTTGGTAGAACATGGGACTCTTAATAATAATAATAATAATAAATTTTATTTATATCCCGCCCTCCCCAGCCGAAGCCGGGCTCAGGGCGGCTAACAACAATAAAACAGTACAAAAGTACAGCATAAACAACAGTCTAAAATCATTCGTTATAAAATTAATTAATTCAAGCCACTGGCAACCATTGGGCCAGAGCTCCGCGAAGATTGCCGAGGGAGGGAGTCAGGCTGTGCCCTGGCCAAAGGCCTGGTGGAACAGCTCTGTCTTGCAGGCCCTGCGGAAAGATGTCAAGTCCCGCAAGGCCCTGGTCTCTTGTGACAGAGTGTTCCACCAGATCAGAGCCACAGCCGAAAAAGCCCTGGCTCTAGTTGAGGCCAGCCTAACTTCTCTGGGGCCTGGGACCTTCAAGATGTTTTTATTTGAAGACCGTAAGTTTCTCTGTGGGGCATACCAGGAGAGGCGGTCCCGTAGGTACGAGGGTCCTAGGCCGTATAGGGCTTTAAAGGTTAAAACCAGCACCTTAAACCTGATCCTGTACTCCACCGGGAGCCAGTGCAGCTGGTATAGCACCGGGTGAATGTGATCTCGCAGCGAAGACCTCGTAGGAGTCTCGCTGCAGCATTCTGCACCCGCTGGAGTTTCTGGGTCAGTCTCAGGGGCAGCCCACGTAGAGCGAGTTACAATAATCCAGTCTGGAGGTGACCGTCGCATGGATCACAGTGGCTAGGTCAGGGCGAGAGAGGTAAGGAGCCAACTGCTTAGCTTGGCGGAGATGGAAAAATGCCGCCTTTGTTATAGCTGCAATCTGCGCCTCCATGGAAAGGGAGGTGTCGAAGATTACACCCAAACTCTTAACGGACGGTGCTGGCACTAATTGCGCCCCGCAAGAGATGGGAGTTGCCCCCAATCCCATATCGCCCCGTCCCAGCCACAGGACCTCTGTCTTCGAAGGATTTAGCTTCAACCGGCTCCCACGAAACCATCCAGCCACAGCTTCCAAACATCTAGTCAGTGTGTCTGGGGCCGAGTCAGGATGGCCATCCATCAACAGATAGAGTTGGGTGTCATCGGCATACTGATGGCAACCCAGCCCAAAACTCCGAACAAGCTGGGCGAGGGCGCATAAAGATGTTGAAAAGCATCGGGGAGAGTATTGCACCCTGAGGTACTCCACACACCAAGGAGTGGCGCGATAACAATCCCCCCCCAAGCGCCACCCTCTGTCCCCGACCAGAGAGAAGCGAGCGCAGCCATTGAAGGACTGTGCCCTGGATCCCCACGTCGGCAAGGCGGTGGTCTAGAAGTTCGTGATCGACCATGTCGAAAGCTGCTGACAGATCTAGAAGAATCAGCAGCCCCGACCCGCCTCGATCCAGCTGTCTACGAAGATCATCTGTTAGGGCAACCAGAGCCGTCTCGGTCCCATGACCAGTGCGGAAGCCGGACTGGAATGGATCCAGAGCCGATGTTTCATCCAGAAAACCACCAAGCTGTTCAGCAACCGCTCTCTCAATCACCTTACCCAGGAACGGAAGATTCGAAACCGGGCGGTAATTGGATAGATCTAAAGGATCTAATGATGTTTTCTTTAAGAGCGGGCGCACCACTGCCTCCTTCAGTTCCCCTGGGAATGTCCCCGTGCCAAGGGACAAATTGATGATATCCCCCAGGAGGGCCCGCACCTCGTCTGGACACGCTCTAATCAGCCAAGACGGGCACGGGTCGAGAGGACAGGTGGTGGGCTTTCCAGCTCGGAGGAGTCTGTCCACATCGGCTGGGGATATCCGGTCGAAGTGGTCCAATACTGGACCCGAGGACAGTCGAGGGGCCTCCAGTTCCTTTATTGTATCCAAATTGGCCGGGAGGTCATGGCGGAGCAACAAGACCTTCTCCGCAAAAAAGCTCGCAAATGCCTCACAGCTGTGTGTCAAATTGTTATTTAAATTTGGCTGTCCCTCAAGGGACGTTAAAGACCTGATTATACTAAATAATTGCGCCGGGCGAGAGCTTGCGGATGCAATGGAGGCCGAGAAGTATAACTTCTTAGCAGCCTTCACCGCCATCTCGTAGGTTTTCATAAAAGCCCTATAAGATGTTCTTGAGGCTCCGTCACGGGCACCCCGCCATACTCGCTCTAGCCGTCTGAGGTCCCGCTTCATTTTCCGGAGCTCCTCGGTAAACCAGGGAGCCCGGTTTCTGCGGGGTCGCAGAGGGCGCTTAGGTGCGATCTCATCGATGGCTGCCAGGAGCTGGGTATTCCAGCCCTCAACAAGCTCAGTCAATGAGTCGCCAGGGGAGCAAGGTCCCGCAAGGCTTGGCGGAATCTATCAGGGTCCATCAGCCTCTGCGGGCGAGCCCAAATCGGCTCGCCACCTAAGCAGGGTGGGGGTGGAAAGTCAATCCTGGCTTTCAGAGCGTAGTGATCAGACCATGGCACCTTCATCGAAGGAGACATGATCACATCTATACCTACGCCAAAGATCAAATCCAGCGTGTGGCCTGCTTGATGTGTGGGGCCCGAAACAAACTGGGAGAGCCCTAGTGTCGCCATGGAAGACACCAGGTCCAGAGCCTGTGAGGAGGGAGTGGCATCAGCATGGATGTTAAAGTCCCCCAATACCAATAGGTTAGGGAACTCCAAGGGTTAATCTCAGGGTTGTGGGTTTGAGCCCCACGCTAGTCTACCTAAACCACTCCAACTCTATGATTTCTTAAAGGGGTAGCTGAGGAATGGTAGAAGCAGCAGTGACCGAAAGCTGGGTGGGTGGGGAACTTCTCCTGGTCACCTGCAAGACTCACAGAAAACTTGTTGGTGGATGAACAGCAGGGTTGGCAACTCTTGGAAGTCCAGCTGGCAGATTCCCTGGAGAGTAGATATCCCTGGAGAGAGTAGATATCCCTGGAGAGCCTGGGCACTCACTCGTTGTCAAATTCATGCCTGGAGGACTAGATGATCCTTGTGGTCCCTTCTAAGTCTACTATTCTAGGATTCTATTATTCTTTTCTACCTGATCTCTTGCCATCATTACCTTCTTCCAGGTATACTGCGGCTGCAGAACATGAGGGCTCCCTGCACACCGGCACCTTAACCATTGCCAATGTGAGCGCCGTTCTTGACTATGCCACCTTTACCTGCACAGCCAGCAATGAACTGGGCACAGATACCCTTGACATCCAGCTACTTAGTACCAGTAAGGACATATGGGCTGCTAAGATCTAAGCTGTAGACTTGGCTTGTGTATCAACTGAATATGAGGGGCAAAGACTCACTATCCCTTTTTACAAGTTCTTAAACAGTTCATTTCTTTCTCACCAGGCCGCCCTGACCCACCATCAGGGCTAAAGGTTGTAGGTGTTGCCCACAACTGGCTGGCTTTGGAGTGGAGCCCTGGCTTCGACGGAGGGCTTCAGCAAAGCTTTCGTGTCAGGTAGGAGTCATTTGGCAAAAGCCACAAACATTACTCAAATGGGAATCTTTAAAAATGAAACAGGTCCGTTGTTTAAAACAGGGAGCTATGGGAATTGGTTTGGTGAGGAGATCTCCTGGCTCCTTAACAGTTCCAAAGAATCCCTTGTGGATAAGCTTTGGTAAAAAAAAAAAAATTAAGCCAAGATGACAGTGTACGCCCTTGCACTATTAAACTAAAAGTAAATATATCTTTGTCTGGCTTCAGAAAGATGACAAAGTCGATCCCAGAGCAGCTTCCTTGAGGAGAGCATTCCACAGTAGTGGGGACACCGCAGAAAATACTGAGTATTGATCCAGAGTAGATTCCAATGTATAGTTAGCAGAGTAACAACTTAAACACGTTGCAGGATTCCCCAAAAATAGACCAGAGGCAATTGTATTTCATCCAGCAGAGCTTTACTGCTACTGAAGGCAAATGAGCATAATGGTCACAAATCCAATCCATTCAGGATTGGCACAGTCCATAAGAAATCCAGTTGCAGCAGACTTAACTTAAACTTACAATAACTTATATAAGACTAAACCCTAACACTATATACAGAACACCACACCAGAAGGAAGAGAGATAGAAAGAAAGAGAAAGTGAAGACCCAGGCTCCTTCTGGCCTATTATTACAGTCAGCATGACCTTGACTGAAAGAGATAACAGAACCAGTGTAAACCAGCTGTACTCAGCTTCCCTGAAGGAATAACCCAAACATCACGAACCTTCTGCTTGTTTCTTTCACACGGAGAAGCTTGAATGAAGTAGAACAGGAAAGATCTCTACACATCAGATCAATACTTTCTGCACTAAGAAATGCAAACTGACAATTCTCTCATTGCCACCCTCCAAACATCTTTTGGAGGGAGCACATAGAGAAGGGCCTTAAATGTCAACCTCAGGATTAGGTGGTTCATATGGTGAAAAAGTGGTCCTTGAGGTCCCAAGCCATGCAAGGCTTCAGAGGTCAAAAGCAACCCTTTGAGTTGGGTTTGAAACTGATTGGTAGCCAGGACAAGCAAGCCAGAACTGCAACTGTGCGTTCCTCTATCTGTCTGAAAAGCAGAATAACTTACCTGAATATATTTCTTGAACCAAGTACCACCATCAGTTTTACGGTGGGAAGGAGGGAGGAGGCAGTGATGGCCACCAACTTGGATGGCTTTAAAAGAGGCCTCATCCAGCAGGCTGAGCGTATGTTCTTATGGGGATGTTGGACATTAAATGCCATTTTTCAATTGCGCCTCTTTTTCGCCCACTTCCATCCAGGTACCACTGGCCAGCGGCTCCCAGCTTTAGGTATGTGGATGTCTTCCCGCCGCAGTCTTCTGCATTCACCTTGATGGGCCTGCGCCCAAACACCGTCTACAATGTCTCCGTCAATGCCCGCAATGCCCTTGGTGAAAGTGACTTTGCTGATGGTGGGGCAGGACTGAGTGTCACCACTACAGGTAAGGAGCATCTTGCTGCTTAGCAAGGATGGAGCCAGCACAAGGGTGTGGCTATTAAAGGTCACATTCAACCATACTTTCACTGCATGAGTATACTTGTGTGTAGGCACCTCGTTAGAAGCTTTCAACCATTTAGCAGAGTTTCTGGAAGCAGTGGTCAGCAACTGAAGCTACACCTTGAGAAGAAACACTCAGAGACGCCGTAAAACTCAGTCAAGTGATTTATTGCTTGATTGGTCATAAACGCATCACGATAGCACTGTTTACAATCATTATAGCAACAGCTGTAATGTTTCGGTCCCTCTTTCTCTTTAGCAACAATGTAGGCAGACACAGTCTATCGGCAGTCATGACGCAGCAGCTTGCAGACAGCACTTGTTGGTCAGTCGTCTGCAAAAAGTGAAAACGGAAGTTCTCCTTTTATCGGCACTTCCAGCTGAAGCTGCGCATGCTCTGAGTGCCACTCCCACTTTCTGGATGAATGACTCCCTAACAGTGGCCTGCACTTCAAGAAGCAATCGGTGGTACTGTGTAGTAGACTGAGCATTGCATTTGGACCGGAGAGATCCAGGTTCAAATCTCTGTCCAGTGATCAATTTCTGACCTTGCGCCAGTTGCTCTCTCAATCTTCCCTGCCTTTCATGGTTGCTGTGAGGATAATAAAATGGGAAGGGGTGGAGAGGGAGTCAGGTAAACTACTCTGAGTTCCTAAAGGAAAGTAAGGTAAAGGTAAAGGGACCCCTGACCATTAGGTTCAGTCGCGGACGACTCTGGGGTTGCAGCACTCAACTCGCTTTATTGGCCGAGGGAGCTGGCGTACAGCTACCGGGTCATGTGGCCAGTGTGGCTAAGCCACTTCTGGCGAACCAGAGCAGCACACGGAAACACCGTTTACCTTCCCACCGGAGCGGTACCTATTTATCTACTTGCACTTGATGTGCTTTCGAACTGCTAGGTTGGCAGGAGCTGGGACCGAGCAACAGGAGCTCACCCCGTTGCGGGGATTTGAACCGCCGACCTTTTGAACGGCAAGCCCTAGGCTCTGTGGTTTAACCCACAGTGCCACCCGCATCCCTAAAGGAAAGTATAAGCATGTAATAAGTGAGAAACAGAGTGGCAAAATGATCCTGGATTAACTGTTATGCTAAGCATGCTGTAGAGCTGGGTTACAACAGAAGAGCGGGTTAGCAGTGACTCAAGTACTTGAAAGTGGCAGATTTCTGTGATATCGATTTTTTTCCCTGAGGGTATGGGAATTTGCTTACCCTTCCTGACCCAGCGTATATCATCACATTGATATGACCATCCTTGTATTAGGCAAATTGTCCTGTTCTGATGCTATCAGAATCTGGACGCTATGTTCCATCGCGGTTTAATGTGTTCTCTTCTAGGGAGTGAGGAAGAAACAATTGACAGAGAACCCAAAACACCATCTCTACCTGAACCAGGTACAAAAATGTTAACAACTAGTAGAGTTGAAGTCTATGTTGTTGAGAGAGCCATTTCCTGCTGTGGCCCTCTCTGCCTTGATGCTCTGTTGCAGTCAGGGCTGAATGTATGGATAGCTCAGTTGGTTAGAGTTTGGTGCTGGAAATGTCAAGGTTGCAGGTTCAATCCCCGTAAGGGACAGCTGCATCTTCCTGAATTGCAGGGGGTTGGACTGGATGATCCTCAGGGTACCTTCCACCTCTAGTTATCTATTAATAATTGCTGAATTGCTCAAGTCAAAATGTTGGTGTGTGATACAGCAGTCAGTATCCCAACCACCACTGTGTTCCTTAAAACAGCAATAGATGCAAACCTATGTTTCTAGTCTACAGAGATAGGTTTGCTGTACAATGGTAATACAGTGGTACCTCTGGTTACGTACTTAATTCGTTACGGAGGTCCGTACTTAACCTGAAACTGTTTTTAACCTGAAGCACCACTTTAGCTAATGGGGCCTCCCACTGCCGCCATGCCCCCGGAGCACGATTTCTGTTCTTATCCTGAAGCAAAGTTCTTAACCCGAGGTAATATTTCTGGGTTAGCAGAGTCTGTAACCTGAAGTGTATGTAACATGAAGCGTATGTAACCCGAGGTACCACTGTACACAGGAATATTTTGGAATGCAGAGGGAGCCTGAGTGAGAGAAGAGGTTAGCAGCTGAAGCCTGAGCCCTGTGATGTCTCCAGTGTTTAGTATAGAAGCAGAACAATAGAAAATTTGCAAAGACACAATGCTGATATTTTTCCAGGTCTTCTCTCTCCCTCTCTCTGCAATTTGGATTTTGCTTTCGGTTTCATTTTGGCACCAAGTACAAACAGCTTTGATTGTCGATTGCATACGGCTTCTGGCGCATTTAGTTTATTGCACAATGAATGTGTAAAAGTTTCCATTTGATGTGCACGCTCCATCGATATGCTCGAGGCGGTGAGCCTGTTGCAGGGATATTGCATTTTCCAGGCACTCTTCAATCTTTTATAGTGGTTGCTTTTGCCAGATAATGGATCAATGGTTGATCAGAGTCTACTGTGCGGGATGTGGAAATGCAAGTATGTTGGGTAGGTTTGCCAGCGTTTTCAACAGCACCTGCTCCTCTCCCCCCAGGCAGTTATGGGAACTGTAGACATTAGCAAGTGACAATGTTCCATACTGTGTAAAATGTCATGTGATGATTTCTGTAGGTCACAGACAGATTAAAAGCACAGAAGCAGGCCACACCAGACTGTATGGTCAGTTGGCAAACCTCCTCGCTGGCACCAGCAGGAAACTTATTTAAAAAGATAAACCAGTCATTAGTCAATTACCACTAGGAATGGATGAATCTCTCAATTTTGGTTTCTCTCAGTTTCTCATTTTTCTGACCCTAAATGTACCTTTCTGCAGCCATTTGAGATTTTTCTAAAATATACTGAATTCCATGTGAAAACGTGTAAGGGTTTCAGTGCAGATTTCTCATAGGGTTGCCATATATCCTCTTTTTCCAGGACACGTCCCCTTTTTCACGGGTGTGTAAATTGAGAGTCATCATAGCAATCCACAGTTAAAAGCAGAAGTCGGCAAATGAGTCCTCTTTTCGGCTCTTCGAAATATGGCAGCCCTAGCAAGCATATTTTTGTATGCGGTTTTAACCAGCCTACACATCTTTGCAAGTGATTTCCCCCAGCACAATGCATTTTGTATGTGCTTTCATGAATATATGCATTTATATGCACACTTTTCTATAATATATCGTTTTGGTATGTAGGCACTTTCTCACTGAAATGCAAATGAAAACAAAATTCTCTCTCTTCTCCACTTGTATCACTTAGCGCATTATCATACCACTTTGCAAACCAGTGTAGTTTTAATTTCCCTTAAGGAAAAAAAAAGCTTTTCTTTCAAACCTGTGCCCTCTCCCTCCCCTCAGCTGGAGTATATGAGACACTCAGGGTTTGGGGGAAGAGGGGCAGACAGCAGGAAGGCTGCAGTAAAACTATTCCTAGGGCCAGCACATGACAATGGGACATCTCTGCCTTCTCCCATCCTGCTCTGTTCCTCATGATACACTGCCCGAGTAATGTCTCATGGTACAGCCGGCCCTAACAGTTCTGCCCAAATATATTGTTTCCCCAGCCACTCTGGGCGGCTTCCAACAAAACACTAAAATACAACAACCTATTAAACATTTAAAACTTCCCTAAACAGGGCTGCCTTCAGATGTATTCTAAAAGTTTGGTAGTTATTTTTCTCTTTGACATCTGGTGGGAGGGCGTTCCACAGGGCGGGTGCCACTACCGAGAAGGCCCTCTGCCTGCTTCCCTGTAACTTGGCTTCTCGCAGCAAGGGAACCGTCAGAAGGCCCTTGGTGCTGGACCTCAGTGTCCGGGCAGAACGATGGAGGTGGAATAAAATGATGGAGGTGGCTGCAGTAAAAGGAGGACTGCATGTTTAGGGAAGCTTTTAATGTTTAATGGGTTATTGTATTTTGGTGTTCTGTTGGAAGCCACCCAGAGTGCCTGGGGAAACCCAGCCAGATGGGCGGGGTATAAATAAATTATTATTATTATTATTACCATGGTGGCGGCGTGGGAGCTGCTTTCCTCTGTGCCCTCACCTTTTAAACTTTTTCATTCTTCCCCAGTGAGTCCTTTGCTGCCTCTTCCTCTTGTTGGGCTCCTCAGCACTTTAGGGGTTCTTCTGATAGTTTCCAACCTGTCCTTCCTGGGCTGTTTACTCTGCCGGCGACAGGTCCGAACTCCCAAAGGTAAGCAGAGCCATAGCTCACTACTAAGGAATGGGGCATGGGGAGATTCATACTGTCTGCTCTGCACAAGAGCCCTGGAAACACTGGGCACTGAAGGTAAATTCAGAATCATTGGCTGGCTCTCCAGTTCTAATAACATGAAAAAGGTTTTTGCTCCCTATCCACATTTTTCACGCCATTGCATAATTTTATACACCGCTATCATGTCCCACCTAAGTAGCAAGGAGTGAATCTGTCCAGGTTCTCTCCATTTCTCATTTTCCCAGTCTTCTGTTCAGCTCTCCCTGTTTTCACATCAGCTTGTGATGTCATTTTAAAGCCCAAATGATAATTTGTCAGCATTTTAGTGTGAATTTATATTAATAGACACCTGTGTTTATGCACTTTGTTCCTGAGATATACATTTTTTGCAAAGGAATTTCCCTTAAAGCAATCTATTATTTTCAGGGATATATGCATTGTGCACACACTTTGCACCAGTACATGCATTTTTGTACCCATGTCCTGCATGGTGTATTGCAAAATCCAGTGAATGGTGAATGTCAAAGAATGACTGCATTTTGCTTTGGGATAATTTCAGAAAGTGTGACTTAGTTGGGTTTACCTTTAGATGCAAATTGAATCCAGTTTCCCTCATCCATTTCCCTTATGTGCATTTTCTCTAAACTCACCCCCTTCCCCTTAATGTTGTAACTTTTTCGGACTGGGGAACTGCTCCTTCCACAGTGCTGGACTCCATTGACTCCCACCCACCCACCCACCCACTGCCTGCCTTTGTATGACCTTTCTTTTGTTTCTCTCTCTCTCCTTGCAGTTGATGGAACCCAAGAAGAAGTCAAGTAAGTATTAAGTGGGCAGGAGGGAAGGAGGCCATAGGGGGGCAAAGTGCCCACCACTTCCCCCAGAATTATCTTTTGCACATGTAGCAACAGTGAGACTAGGAGATGCTGCTTAGAACCATCAAGTTGGAAGGGGATGTGGAAGTCATCTAGACTAACCCCATTAAATTCAGGCTCTGCAATGCAGGCTGCAACCAGAGCATCTCTGACTGGTGGCGGTCAACCCTCTGCTTTAAATGCCTCCACCACCTCTTGAGTCAGTCTCCACCGTCGAACAGCTCTTCAGGTGAAACCTTTCACAGCAGCACATCCACTTGCTATGTGTGTCTGGAGGGACAATGCACTGACCAATTTTCTTTCCTGGTTATGTGGCTGTTAAAGGCCCAGGAGATCTCCCTCCCCCCCAAAAAAAAACTTTTAGGGGAAATCAACTGCTTTGAGCACTAGACACCAGTGCCATAGCCTGAAAAGGCTTATAGGGTACCAAGTGGTAGCTAGCGGCTCAATAGGACTCGGAGAATTGAAGGCGGTGAAATCGATGGTAGGTGGATCCAGAGCCAATAAGAGTTGGAGGTGGAGCTAATGAGAGGAAGAGCCACCCTCTGATTGGTTGTAAGTAAGACGGGCAGGCAGGGGCTGACTGAGATTAGTGGGGCATTCCTCATTCGCCCTAGTTAACCACCCTCCCCAGAATGTTGTTGCTATTTCAGGGGAAAGGTGAGATTTGGGAACAACTACGCAGTAAGCAAATGGCTGAAACTCGGCACACGGACAGCCCAGCTGGAGGAGCACAGCTCTGAGGTAAGTACATCTCTCTGAGGCCTGGGAATTGTGGGTACAACATCCAGGTAGCATGTAGGACCAGAAAAGAACCCAGCCAGGTCTAGTCTTGTGCCTTCAGCAATATCTTCCTTGGCTGATATTAGTAGGTGATTTTTTTCATGATATAGAGAATATAGACTGCCTGTTGTGGTCTGCAGATGGTCTGGAGATGCATGGGTGCAGAAGCTGGTACAAAAGGCAGCAACCATGGCAACAAGAGTCCAGGAATACAACAACCACAAAGAAAAATAAATCCATCGGGGTGGGGGTGGGGAACAGCTCTATCCTTTGTTCCCAGTGCTGCTTTTTAAGTTTGCTGTTTTTCCCCCCAAGGGAGGCAAACTTGACATTGAGACAAAGGCAACTGGATCTGCTCACTGGTAACACACATTCAACATCAAGGCTTCAGCCCCCGAAAAAGTAAATGTTGCAGTGTTGTGCAACAAGGTTGTGTTCAACGTTAGTCCTACTTGGAGTAGACCCATTGAAATTAATGGACATGAGTAATGTAGGCCCATTCATTTCAATGGTTCCACCTTTAGCTGGGTACAATGCACAGTCAGTTTTACAGGGACTTCAGAATTCTGCATCAGTCAATCCAATTTCTGTAATAGGGATAATTTACACCAGCCAGTGAAGTTTAGCACAAATTGTGGGAGGCAATTAAATGTATGAATCTTTGTTACTCACTTGTGTGGTTAAATTTAAAATATTTTACCTACAGATTCAAAGGTCTGTTACCATGTTCCATGCAGCGACAAGGAGGACACAGGCAAAATACTGTAGGGTAGAAAATGCAGCAAGATAGTTTCATACTAAACAGAGTCATCTCCCAATAGGCCAGCCTTCGCCAAACAGGTGCCCTCCAGATGTTTTGGACTACAACTCCCATCAACCCAAGCAGGCATGGCAGGACTGGCTGGGGCTGATGGGAGTTGCAGTCCCAAAACATCTACAGAGTATCAGGTTGGCCAAGGCTGTTGTAGACCATGGTTTCCAGACTCTCTCTCTTTTTTTTGTTTTGTTTCCAGACTCTCCATGATCAGGGTCAACCTTCATAGGAGTGCAAGAAGTTTGATGTTGCTTTGAAAAAAATATCACAGTAGACCTTAGGATTTTGAGCTGCCAACAAGGGCTCTGATAGATTCCTAGTGAAAAACTGCCTAGTACCTGAGAAGTCCCCTATGTGAAAGTTAGATGGCTGGAAGCCACCAAAGAAGGGACAATGGATGGGGTCAGTGGACCTGATACAGGCAGTAGATATAGTCCTTTTTCCTGGGAATAGAGCTGGTTGTTTGCTCTCTCTCTGCAGGGCAGCTCTCCCAAGACAACATCAACCGGCACTGAGGCTACTGCAAGGGGCTGGTCCCAGCCAGGCCACCACACTGACAGTGAGATGGATGCTAGTGTCACAGGTGGGTGGGTGCTGACATGTTATTTCTCCTCTGCCCGCTTTTTCCTCTAGGCCACAGTACCATAATCTGGAATCGCAGCAAATCCCAAATATCAGTGCTCTGTTTCAGCACTAGGGTGATATTCTCATCTGGGCAACTTTCCGTGGGTCATGTGTCAGTGGTGGGAGAAGCAGCACATTTAGTTTCTGCCTTTGTACATTAGGCTACACTCTCTCTCGCTGTCTTCGTCCAAACAAGCAAGAGGAACCATCAGAGTTCACGGATGCATTCCAACCAGGCAAAATGCTCAGGGGGAGAAGTAGGACCACTGAGAGGTGGGGCCTGGGGAGAATTCCAAGGACCAGGCAGAGAGTGGTCCATCCTTGCTCTTGAGGAACAATCTCAGGTCCCTGAAGGCAGGCTTCCTTCATCACTGCAGACCCCGATATTGCACCCACAGGGCTTGGTTTTCCAGGTCAGCACGAGTACGAGGAAGTGAGGCTGCCCTGGCAGTATGAAGAAATGAAGCCTCTGTATGAGAGATGGTACCCTCAGGAGGAACCGTGGATTTATGAGTATGCTGTGAGTACCTGGGGAAGAGGCTGTGGGGTGGGGGAGGAGTCACAATGGACTCTCCTTCTGAACCAAGTCCACAGGACTTGTCCTCTCTTGTCTGTTTCATTGTGAGTCATGGATCCCCTTGTTTCCTCCACCTTCCTCATTTCAAAAAAGACACCCAAAAGGAAGTCAGAGAGTGTCCCATCTTAGCCCCATAGTGTATATCATACAGGAAGATAGGAAGATGCTTTGTACTGAGTTAGACCATTGGTCCATGTAGCTCAGTGTTGTCTACACTGACTGGCAGTAGCTCACCAGGGTTTCAAGCAGGAGATTCACCCAGCCGGGGATTGAATTTGAGAACTTTCTACCAGCGACCAGATTTGCCCAATGAGGAGAGGAAGTAGACTGGCAGCTGCTGGACTGGTAGAAAAAAGGACTCCACAACCTTTTTTTCAGATTGAAAAACAAGTTCTGGAACATAGAAAGTTGCCTTATACTGAGTCAGGCTGGTACGGCCTACTCTGACAGGCAGTGATTCATCTCAGCCAGAGGTCTCTCCCACCACCCCAGGTCCTTTTAGCGGGGATGCCAGGGGTGGAGCCTGGGACCTTCTGCACATAGAACCCTCTGCCTCTGAGCTATAGCCCTGCCTCCTTAGGAAGCTGCTTCACACAGAGTCAGATCAATGGTCCATCAACTCAGAATGGTCAGTGCAAGGAATGGGGAGCCTGTGGCCTTCTTGAGGTTGTTGAACTACAGCTCCCATCATCCCTGATAATTGACCATGCCAGCTGGGGCTGATGGGAGTTGCAGTCCAACAGCATCTGAAAGGCCACAAGTTCCCCATTCTTGGTCTACACTGACAGTCAGCCACTCTTGATACTTTCAAGCAGGAGTCTTGCCACGTCTTGGCTGGGATTAGAATCCTAGAACTGTAGAGCTGGAAGGGACCATGAGGATCATCTAGTCCAACCCCCTGCAATGCAGGATTCATTCACCCAATGCAGGGCTCAAACCCACAGCCCTAAGATTAGGAGCCTCACACTCAACCGACTGAGCTATCCACAGGGATATTTTACCTGTTTTCTATTTTAGGATTGAACACACAAAGCAGATGCTCTGCCACCAAGCTGTGCCCTTTCTCATGACAGGAATGGGGGCTGGGGCTTTGGCCTTGATAGATGAGGCCAGAATCCATTTAGCCCAGCTCTTGTCTGTCAACCTGGGCCAACCAGATGCAGGACATGTAGGCAATGGCCTCCTGCTGTTTGGCCTGCGTGGCTGGTGTTCAGAGGTAGAGTGCTCCCACACATGGCGGCTCCATTTAGTTACAGTGGTGGTGAGTCACTGACACCCCTGGCCTCCACCCATTGTCTCCTGCAGTTGGGAAATGGTAGGGAACCTCAGCAGGTCTTTCTTCCCTTATGTCTAGGGTGATTATCAGCGAAGGAGAAGATCAGTGGATGGCTATGCGGAAGTGACACAGGTCTACGACCCTGTGGCAGATTTTCTGCCCCTGGATGGGGAGCTGCCTTTTGAGCAACGAGGGGAGCTGGTCTGAGCAAAAGCTGCAGCAAGGCTGCTTCTGATCTGTCACCCAGGATTCGAATCCTTACTCAGCCATGAAGCTTTGCTGGGTGACGCCTTGGGTCAGGCATTGTCTCTCAGCCTAACCTACCTCGCAGGGTTGTTGTGAGGCTAAAATGAGGAGTGTGGGGGGGATAAAGAACCATGCACACCCGTGAACTCCTTGGAGGAAAGGTTGCAATAAATAAATCTACCATATATTTTTGAAAGTGATTTGTTTGCTCGCTATGAATTTGGACACATTGGAAGACACCGCAACCCAATTTCAGATGATGGCTCTGAGATTGAAGAGCAGCTCTCTATCTGCATTTGGATACAATCAGGTGCCATTTTGAATCAAGATGGTGGACTGAAAAGAGGCGCTGACTTGCGCCCAATATGGAGGGGGCCCAGCATGTGTTGTGTGTGACTGTTGCATTGTCTAGAGGAGGCCACTGCCACCATACCTGGCCTGAGGAGAGAAGGTGCTGCTCCACATGTGCCTCCATCTCCCTTGCTGCTCCTTGGCTACCTCTGCCCCCTCCTCAGGGACATGCCACCTTCCTTTTCTTCCCCTGGACCTTCCCCTTCTGGCAGCCATGAGGGGGAATGCAGGCAGCAGCAGTGCCACCTCAGCTCTACTCAGCCTCCCCACATCCCAGAGGTACATTTCAGGAGCAGAAGGCCCCACAGCCCTGACTGCTGCTCTCCAGCGGCAGTGGCTTCCTGCCTGACACAGCCCTTGCCTTGCTAGCAGTCCAAGATGCTCCCTCCACAGACCCTTAGCCTGGCTCCTGGCATTCTTCATTCACGGAGAGCTGCCTCTTCCTCTTCCTCCCTGCGTTTGGCCTCCTCCACCCCCTGAACCTTGAGGGGACCCGTTCCCCTGCCAACAAATATTGAGGGGGCCAAAGACACCTCGGCCCCATAGAGTTGGTGTGCCTGGGACCGACCCATTCAAACCTGCCCTGATTTCAACTGCTGATTTCAAAGCTACACTGCGCTTTTGCTTTCTCCGGGTTCCTGAGAAGCACCAGGTACACGGCTGGTAGCAAAATGAACAAATTATCTGGGGCTTGACTACATGGCATGAAGTCGCTTCTGATAGCAGACCTCAACCCTTCCCTCTCTTGTGTTTCTATTCCCTCTTTTCCTTGGTCGTGGGGCTGAGTGGTCCAAGAATGCTGGCAGTGAGACAAAAGCGGAAGCAGGCAGGCGCTGATGGGTTCACAGGTTCTGCACCGGGGCCGGAGTGTAGGCAGTGTGAGACGGAGACAGCGGAAAAGATTAAAAAGTGTGCTTCTTTATTGCCACAATTAGCTTGCTTCTGTTCCAATAACATATGGTTCATCATAAACCCTGGCATGTCCTCGCCTCCATTTAAATATTCCATTAGCACAAGTTTGGAGTGTTTATCAAGCTGAACACAGAGGAGGGCATGTGAAAGGTTGCCAGACAGAGAGAGTGGGGGGAATGGGGAGGGATAAACACAAGATTATAGGATGTTGCCTTCTACTGAGTCAGACCACTGAGTCTATCCAGTTCAGTATTGTCTGCATTGACTGGCAGCAGCTCTGCAGGGTTTCAGGGTGAATTTTTTTCAGCCCTCCAGGGAGATGGACTCTAGGACCTTCTGCATGCAAAGCAGATGTCCTACCACTTTGGGAAGGGTTCCCTCCATAGCTGTCAAGCGTCCCTTATTTGGCGGGACAGTCCCTTATCCGAGGGCCATGTCCCGCTGCTGTCCCTTATTGATGATGTCCCTTAAATAAGCTACTGAAGGTAATGGGGCCCTTTCTATGTCCAGCTGTCCTTTGTCAACAACAAATTGTTGCTGTTTTTTGTGTTGAATATATGCTATATGGTAATTTATAGGACCTAATAGGTATCTAAAGCCATTTGCACGCAACAAAATATGTATTTTATCAAAGTAATTGTTGATCCCTTATTTTGGCTGCTGATCCCTTATTTTCAAGGCTGCTGGTCCCTTATTTTCAAATCTGTAAGTTGACAGCTATGGTTCCCTCCTAGTTAGTGAGCAGGAATAATTCTTGCAGCAGCTGAACCTGCAGCAGTATTTTGCGGCAGAAGAAGCTGCAACCACCAGAATTCTCCCTTTCTTCACAACAGTGAAGAAATCCCAGGATTGGGTGTCTGGCAATTGCAGATGGGCTGATTTACTCGTTTCGGTTTCTCCCCCCCCCATCTGAAGTTCAGTTCTTCGCATTTCTGCATTAGTTTGCAGTTCATTCACATTTGAAGGTGGCAAATTAGGTTGGTTTGCCTTTAAATGCAAGCTGGATCTAATTTCTCCCTACCCAGCAACGGGAAAAGAAGGGAGAGTCAAACTCCTCAAAGAGCTGTGGAGAGCAGGAATTGGTGGGACAGCATGGCTTAATAAGGCGAGACCGCCAAGAAACGGGATGGGTGGGGAGGATAGGAAATGAAAGGGGAGGTGTGTTAATTTCCCCACTTTGTGGGGATACAAGCTGATGCAGTCATGGAGAGAGAGAGAGAGACAGAGAGAAAGACTGCTTCCTTGGCGATGAGCCAGAGATAAGAGTGTGAGCTACACAGAGCTCTCTCAATTAAGCCAGGGACCTGGCTACAGGTTTCTGCACACAGATGCTGTGAGCGGGTGCGTCACAGGCCGGAGCCTAAATCGAGAAAAAACACGCAGTGTTTATCCCCGCAGCTTAGAACACGAAAGGCCCCCACCTTGCCTGAGGGCCTCCAAACCGATTCCAAGCGTCAGAGGGGCAGCACTGAAAAAGTGTGCATATTGTCATTTGCCTCAGGTTATTGTGAGGCGTAATTAAGTCGGCTGCCAACTTCATCTCCTGAGAGGGCACCTCTAACTTCTTAAAAGGGCAGTTCTCTACCACAACGTTGTTTCGAGGCTGGCTTAAGCGTTGCAGCTCCTGCCTCGCCGCAGGGACCCCTGGGAACTGTCATTTGGGTGAAGGAGCAGAGGCTCCTCTTAAAAGACCACTCACTGGAACTACAGTTCCAAGGGTTCCCCAGTTGTGGAGAGAGAAGGAACAACAATTAAGCCGGTTAATTTTGTAGAGAACTACCTGGAGGCGGGGGCAAGACACCTGTAGCCCTCCAGACGTTGCTGAACTTCAAGTCCCATCATCCCTGATCTCTGGCCAGGCTGGACTTCACTCATGGGAGTGGTGGTTCAACAACATCTGGGTACCACAAGGTAGCCGCCAGTGCACAGAAGGGATAATTTCGGCAGTTGTGGCTTGGAAGATCACTCCCATGCCACAGCTGCGAGAAGCTCCAACCAGTGGAGTTTCCTTTCCCCCTTCTGTGCAATTCTTTGAATTAAAAAGTTACAGGAACTCTCTTAGGTTTTAAGATGTAGCATCAGTAAGTGGATCACACCAGAGATGGCCTAAACAGCAACTCAGTTTCACCAAAGTAATTCCTCCAGCAAAGGCCAGCCCTGTGCTACTATACGATCCAAATTTTGCCAAAAACCAATATGGTTCAATTACAACGATCCATTTCACAGAAATGATACTTGCGGCAGCTAAGAGGATAGAGAGGGGCGAACCTGGCAGCTGCCTCCCCATCCCTTGCATGCAAGGATACCAAACAGGAGCACTTAGAACTCCAGTGGGAGAAGCAGCTGGTTGACAGAATTCGCACTCGGAGCCTGAACCGTTTCCTTGCTGATGAGGGTGAGCCCAGTGGTGCTGGGTGGTGGTGGAAGAGTACCTTTGTTCCCTGCCTGATCACTAGCCTGGGGCTGAAAGGATGCAGTGACAGTGGGGAAGGCAAAGCCCTCCACACTGCCAGCATTGCAGTGGGAGATAATCTGGCGCCACTGGGGATAGACTATTGGCCGGCATCAGCAAGGAAAGTCAGGCACACAACCCTCCCTATCCAATAAGTTAGTTAAATACAGGCAGCACAAGGCAAAGTTTCCTTGTCACATAAGATAAAACAACATAAACAACAACGCCCCCCAAATTGACACTCCTTCACTTCCTGGGCGGCTGAAAAAGAGACGGTGTTCTGCCGAGGAGTGTAGCTTGACAGGAGGTCTTCATGGGAAAGGGGGGAGATGAGCTGGTCCGGGGCCCAAACGGCGACTCCTAAGCAACAGGCGTAGCTGCAGAGGGAAGGAGACAACAATCATTCAAAGATGAAGCAAAGCTCTTCCCTGTCCTGATGCAGCTAGGGATGAACAGATCTGCCCATTTCGGTTTCTCCCAGCTTCTCATCTTTCCAGTCTTCAGTTCTCCACTTTTTTGCATCAGTCTACTGGTTTATTTAAATCCACTTGAAAATCCACCAGCTTCTTAGTGTGCATTTCTCCCAACGCAGACATTTCTGTAGGCGATTTTCATTCAGCATACACATTTTCCCCCAAGCAATTTCCCCTAATGTCATGCATTTTTTCTCGGGGTACGTTAGTTCCTCTAAGCACACAATTTCTTATGCCCCCTTTCGCTTAACATATGCATTTTTTGAGCAGGTGGGAGAACTCCACCGCAGAATTCGGAGAAGTGCAAATTTCTCAGGACAGCTGCATTTTGAGCTGCGTGTTGCAAGTGAACTAAATTTAGCTCCCCCTGCCCACTGCCACCAACCATAGATCCTCCCCAAGCTGACCTGTTCTGTCGCTGGCCCTGGTGCCAACAGGTGAACTGGTTGTTCGTTCTCCAGGTTCCGCGCACTGGGATCAGCCCAGTGATGCAGCAGGAGGCGCACAATCTGCTCCTGAAAGGGGTGTCCATGCAGACCAGCGGCCATGTGCAAGGCGGTGTTCCCGTGGGCCTGAGAACAGAGATTTCCCCTCCAAGTTAGCCTGCATAATATCCATTTATTGCAGATTTATTAACCCAAACTTACTGAAGCAGTGTGCAATAAAATAAGACAAAATGCAAAAAGATTGCAAACTCAGCGATGCTAAAAGCAGTAAAGCAATTTCTACCATTGTGAAACTGTTGTTTTTTTTCACATAAGCAACTGCATCACACTTTGGGAAAGGCTTCTTAAAGAAAAAAATGTCTTCAACAGCCCCCTAATTGCTAAAAGGCTAGGTGTTTGCCAGATTTCAGCTGATAACTGATTCCAGGCGGCTGGACCTGCAACACTAAAATCCTGGCCTCTAGGGCACACTCAGCTCATCTCTGGGGCATGTGGTACTCTCAGCAGTACCCCATCTAGGGAGTACAATTGCTGCACATGGATGTGTGGGTCAAGGCCATAGCTGCCAACGTTTCCCTTTTATTGTGAGGAATCCTATTCGGAATAAGGGAATTTCCCTTAAAAATAGGGAAACGTTGACAGCTTATGGTCAAGGCAGTTCCTCAGGTCCATTGCAACTCTTTCCAAAGTTCCAGAAAATGCTGACGGACATGTCAGAGAAAGAAATGGAATCAGAAATTGCCGATGTTCATTTCTTCATCCCGTAGCCAGAAGGAAACTCAGTCCAGTGAATACAATGGGCATTTGCTGTTTCCTGTTGCTTTCAGTCCACAAGTGACATGTAATTGATTACATTAACCTCCCCCCCACTTGCACTGTGTTTCCTTTGCGTTCTGCAAGGCCAGAACGTTTTGGAAGTCGAATGGACTTCTGGAACAGATTCCATTCGACTTCCAAGGCAGAACAGAAAACGATGGCTTCTTACATCCCTGAGGAACAGGACACCTTAGCAGCACACTTGTTTAACATGCCATTTCTGCCTCTCCCCTTTTAGCTGAGCCTCTGTGCTACTCAGGATCAGTCCTGGGGAAGCTGGAGCAGCCTTTGGGCCACGGCAGGTGTGAATCACCTCCTCAATATTCCTCTTCACTTTTCAAGGGAAGCATCCATTGGCATCAATGGCATAGAATTGTGGAGTTGGAGGGGACCACCAGAGCATAGCTGTCAACCGTCCCTTATTTGGCGGGAAAGTCCCTTATCCCAGCGCCGTGTCCTGCTGCTGTCCCTTATTGATGATGTCCCTTAAATTCCCCGGGTTTCAAAGGAAGCAGCTCCTCTCCCTCCCTCCCTGCCGGCCAGGGAGGAGGGAGGCTCCAACTGTGTTGCTTGGCTGCCCAGCCTGCCCCCCTCTGGCCTTCTCTCACCAGCCTCGGCCCCTGGGAGCCCCTCCCCGCCGGGACTGGCGGGAGCCTCAGGCCCTTCCGCTGCCATCCTTCTCGCGGCCGCTGAACTGAGCGTCTCTGCCTGGGGCCTCCCCTCTGCCCGCCACCGCCACTCCCACTAGGCCGTACTGCGGCTGCACCGCTGAAGGAGCTGGATGAGATGGGCAGCCTGGCGCAGCCTATGAATTGCTGAGGAGCCTTGAGAGGAGAGCGAGGGCAACCATAGAGAAAGCAGTTCAGAGAGAGGAGGCAGAGGCGCAGGCAGGTGTTCCAAGGGCTAACCATAGAGGGGGAAAACGGAGGAAGGACCGCAAGCGCTTCCTCCATAGATTTGTAGTGGTAGACTAGCATAGATGGTCTGATCTGCGGGTTTACTTCGGGCGCTATTTCCCCCCCCCTCTTCCTCCCGCCCCGCCTGATGGAACTGAGAGCTGCAGATGGAGCACGGGAGAAAAGATACAAAACTGCAGCAGCATCTTCGTAGCTTGGACTTCGTTTTGCGGGAAAAGTGGTTGCTGCTTGTAGTTATTTAATTGCAGTGTTTCATCAGCTGGTGTCTTGAGCAGCAACCTCTGGAAATGAAGGGCTAAAAACCGGCGCTGCTCTCCCAAATTATCTGGTCCCTTTAACTTCGTATTTCGGCTAGTTGACTAAAATCCCTTATTTTGGCTGCTGATCCCTTATTTTTGAGGCTGCTGGTCCCTTATTTTCAAATCTGTAAGTTGACAGCTATGCACCAGAGTCATCTAGTCTAACCCTCTGCAATGCAGGAATCTTTTTGCCTAACGTGGGGTTCGAACCCATGACCCTAAGATTAAGAGTCGCACGCTCCCCTGGCAATGCAAACAGCAGCATTGGAGAGATCATCTTTATTGGGACCATGGGAGAGAGGGAGGAAGAAAAAGTAAAACTTTCCCTCTCCCTTTCCTAAAGTCCCAAAGCTGCAATTGACGTAGACAAAAACCTGCATGTCAGCTGCTACGGTCCAAATGACCTCAAGTGACATGTGATTCTCAGAGCTGGGCCCTCTGTTGCAAGGTGCTGAGCAGGCTTGATCTGCTCTCCGAGGGCCACCAGTTCTACCCACTGTTCTGCCTTTCATGATACAAAACAACAACAACACCATAATGAAAAAAACTCCTTTCTATCCCCAACCTTGGGCAACAGCGCCCCCTAGCAGAGAAAACCCAGAAGCACACCTTCATATTGACAAAGTTCTGGAGTTCTCCTTCAGGAAGCTGGAGAAGGAACTGGATCAAAGGCAGGTTTGCAGCTTGGACAGCCAAATGCAGAATGGTTTTGCTGCTCTTCAGTTCCTAGAAAAGGGAGGAAACTGTCAGGAGGCCAGATGGGCTGGCCAAGCTTTCTTGGCTAATCACAAAAGAGAGTCTTATCGTTGAACCGTTCTGGGTGGGAGAACATCTGCTTTGCATGCAGACAATCCCAGGTTCAATCCCTGGCACCTCCTGGTAGCACTGGGGGAGAAATTCTAGAGAGCAGCTGCCTGCCAGTGTAGACAATATTGAGTCAGATAAACAAATGGTCTGACTCAGGGTAAGGCACTTTGCCAGTCCTGTTTAGAAATGCTTCCATAATGTCAGTATGTCATGATGTCAGTGGGAGAGCTTGAAGTGTACACGAGAAATCTAGATTTATGCAATTAAAATGAATTAAAGCATTGTCTTGCCCTGGTGAAACAAATCCACTTTTTAAAAAAAAGACTTTTTGCAGTTAGGAAAGTGATGAGGAAAGTCACCGAAAAGTGTAAGAGGAACAAATGGGAAAACACCAGCAAATGAATAGTGCTAATTGTTAAATAAATCAGAAGGAATTTCCAGTAAAGACAGGTCGCAGCCTAACCTCCGTGTAAGCTTTGTGCAAACAAATCAGGGTGAATGCTCAATAAACAGGCCATCTGGAGGATTGCAGCGCACCCTAAGGGGTACACATTGTTACGATATTGAATCAATGCAGCCGCGAGCTGCTGGTAGCTTGAAAGCAAAACATAATGGGAATGTTGGGACTGTTCCGTGGGAAACAGAGGGACAGTCAATTCACAGTGCAGAGGGCACCGGAATTAGCTCAGAGTGTAATATGAGCTGTACAGGATGTACAGGAGGAGTTTGTCTCTTGACTGCTGGAGCTTGAAGAGAGCAGTCATGATTTTCGTAACGCTGCAAAGACAGAAATAAAGGAATGTAAATACGTTTCTGTCTATCTCTTTCCCCTGCCCGGGGGGGGCAGGAAAGAGGGGGGGTGTTCTTCTCACGCTGAGAAGGATCGCCTATCGCAACCTAGCCTGTATCCTGCTGGGGAATGCAGACAGGGAGGTCAACAGGAGATCAAGCCGGGTGCCTGGAGAGTGGCCAGTTTCTCCTGATAAAGGCTTGATTCCCGACACACATTGCATGGTCACATTCTTCCCCACCATGGCAAGATCTATTTTTCTATTTTAATTATGGCAACAATAGCCAAATTCCGCAAATGCTTTGCTATGTCTCCTTCTTTTGCTCTCTTTTTGGTTGATGCAGAAGTGGCCACCTTGGTCTCCTGGCCTGGGGAGAAGGAACCCTTCCTCAGAGCCTACCCACCCACCTACCTGGCTCTTGTAGTTGGCCCCGAGTTCGAGGAGCAAGCGAATACAGAGCAGGAAGTTCTGGAGCTGCTGCTGAGACAACGGATCCATGCTTTGGGACTGGAAGGCAGCATTGTGAGCTATGACAGCGCAATGCAAGGGGGTCAGACCTACCGGAACAGTGCAGAAAGGGATGTCAAAGACTCCACGCATTAGCAGTGTGCAAAATAATATGCATTCACAACTTGAAAATGTTTCTGGGAATACACAGCACTCTCCCATCACCTTACCTTCGAAATTTCTAGCATCGACATTGACTGGGATACCAGTCACCATGACGGCCTGGGAAAGAATCCAGAAGAGATCGTCATTCTGACATGTGCTTAGAACAGATTAAATCCCAACCTAAAGAAAGCCCAGCAAGTAGATGTTGGCCATGGACTGAGTGGCTCTAACACCTAGCCACTTCAACAGTATTTGTTGAAAAAGCAGAGGAAAAGGGCAGGAAGATGACTATAAACATATACGGTGGTACCCTGGGTTAAGAACTTAATTCGTTCCGGAGGTCCGTTCTTAACCTGAAACTGTTCTTAACCTGAAGCACCACTTTAGCTAATGGGGCCTCCCGCTGTTGCCGCGCCGCCGGAGCATGATTTCTGTTCTCATCCTAAAGTTCTTAACCCGAGGAACTATTTATGGGTTAGCGGAGTCTGTAACCTGAAGTGTATGTAACCTGAAGCATATGTAACCCGAGGTACCACTGTAGACCTTTTCCCTGCTGTAGTGATTATTGCATCACAGCCTGTTTCATTGTGTTTTAAAGGCGCTGTAAGCTGCCTCAAGAACATCAGTTGGTCAACAGGCTATAAATACAGTACTCCTAAATGAATAAATAGTATTTTATCGGATACCCATTGTCCATGCGTGGAGATCAAGTGATGGGGAAGCATGGCCTGCTGTATGTGCTATCGTGCTGCTAACATTTGCAGGTGTATAAAAGGAACAATTGACGGAAACGCTGCTGTAATTTGAACTCTGCGATGAGGTGCCATGAGGTCCAGCTTCCACCAACTCCCAACTATTGGCCCTGCTGGCTCATGGGAGTTGGAGTTGGTGGTGGCTGGGTGCTACAGTGGAGAGTCAGTGTGGTGTAGTGGTTAAGAGCGGTAGACTCGTAATCTGGGGAACTGGGTTCGTGTCTCTGCTCCTCCACATGCAGCTGCTGTGTGACCTTGAGCTAGTCACACTTCTCTGAAGTCTCTCAGCCTCACTCACCTCACAGAGTGTTTGTTGTGGGGGAGGAAGGGAAAGGAGAAAGTTAGCCACTTTGAGACTCCTTTGAGTAGTGATAAAGCGGGATATCAAACCCAAACTCTCTTCTTCTTCTGAAGGAATGGCCCGGCTGCTGCCCTTGAGCTTTTACCACCTGAGGCAATTGCCTCAGTTTGCCTGATGATAGGGCTGGCCTTGCTAGCAGCGATGGGACCTTAGACAGCTGCTTTGTACTGAATCAGGCCATTAATATTGCCTGCAGTGACTGCCAGAGGCTCTCCAGGATTCCAGGCAGGGAATATTTCCCACAAGGGCATAGCTCCGGCACCCGGAGCAGTGGGGGCAGGGCGATATGTGCATGAGGGCGGTGTGGTGAGCTGCCCACGGAGTCCGCCTGGCGGACCCAAGCCCCATGCTGCAATTTCGGGCAGAGTGGGGCCCCGAGCCACTGTGTCACTCCCAGGAGAGAAGTGTGGCTTGGGTGTGCTACAGGCCAGGCCCCGTGGTAAGTGCCGCTCCCCGTGGTGTGCTATTTTGTCACCCCCCTCAAGGATGAGACTCAGGGCGGACCACACATCCCACGCCCCACTTCCTAGGCCCCTGATTTCCCAGCCCTACTGGGAGATGCCTGGGATTGAACCAGAGACCTTCTGCATGCAAGGCAGGTGCTCTACCACTGAGCTATGCCCTTCCCCTGTGGCGCTTCAGGTTTTGTTGGGTAGCAACTCCCATCATTCTTAAATGTTGGCCATGCAATAGGGACACTCACCTCAATGACACTGGGCAGCCCATAGGTGGCACCAAGGTGCAGCACAGTCTGCCCCTTCTGGTCTGCAGCGTTGACGTCCGCTCCCAGGATGATTAGGTCCTTCACGATCCCAGGCTGATTTGCTGCAGCTGCCACTAGCAGCGGAGTCTGGGCACACAGAGAGGAATAGCAGTGAGTGGCTGCGGCTGGGAGTGGCAGAGCTCAGCCTTGCCAGGCGCCTGGTTCTAGGCAGCTATCTAGGGCAGCAGTTGATAGGCGACAGGCAGCAGCTGACGGAAGGGAGCATTCACTACTTCAATGGATATACACCAGCCGTGTTTCAGCCTGACGTCCGCATTTCCTTTTGGGCAACCTTCTGAGGGCCACATGCCAATGGTGGGATGGGCCATAGGCAAAAGTGGGTGGAGCAATGAATGCAAATATCATCTTTGTAGCATAGGCTAAGTTTCTGCACACCCATCCCCCATCCCAACAAACAAGAGGCATTAGTGGACTGCAAGGTGTCACAGGGGAGCTGGACAAGAGGCACATTTAGTGAAGAGCAGAGAGATAACAACAACAACAACAACAACAACAACAACAACAACAACAACAACAATTAAAACTCGCCCATCTGGCTGGGTTTCCCCAGCCACCTGTGGGCGGCTTCCAACAGAATATTAAAATACAATAATCTATTAAACATTAAAAGCTCCCCTAAACAGGGCTGCCTTCAGATGTCTTCTAAACGTCTGGTAGTTGTTTTTCTCTTTGACATCTGGTGGGAGGGCATTCCACAGGGTGGGTGCCACTACCGAGAAGGCCCTCTGCCTGGTTCCCTGTAACTTGGCTTCTCACAGGGAGGGACACTGAGGTCCTGCGCCGAGGGCCTTCTGGCAGTTCCCTCACTGCAAGAAGTGAAGCCACAGGCAGAGGGCCTTCTCGGTAGTGGCGCCTGCCCTGTGGAACGCCCTCCCATCGGATATCAAGGAAATAAACAACTCTCTGACTTTTAGAAGACATCTGAAGGCAGCCCTGTTTAGGGAAGTATTAAATGTTTGATGTTTTATCGCTTGATGATGATGATGGGAGCCACCCAGAGTGACTGGGGAAACCCAGCCAGATGGGCAGGGTAAAAATATATTATTATTATTAATAATAATAATCAGATCCCTCCCTCCTTCTGCCTACAGTAAGTCCCAAGGGATCCTCTCTGTTTCTGCTCAGCTTTCTGTTCTGTTACGTGGAGGAATCATCTTGTTTTAGGGTTGGGAGTTGGAGCTGGCAGACTTTCAACAGACACATTATCAGCTGGTGTTGGTGTTGCCTCTATTAAGTCTGACTCCTGTCTTTTCTCAGGGCTGGTGCATCTGCTTGCTTGCCCCTGTTCCTCACCCTCCAATATCCCCTACTTCTACTCATCCTCTGGGGTTTGTCCTGTCTCCCACCACCAAGGGAAAAAAATCACCCAGGGAGCAAAGCTGGAGGTGTGGGGTGGGGAGATTCCTGAGGGACAGACAAAATTGCCTGCAGGGCTACATTTGGGCCCTGAGCCTTCGTTTCCCCACCCTGAGGTACACTCTTATTCCTCAGGAGCAGCTCGACACAAATAAAAAGACTGAACTGGCCTGGAGTCCTGAACATCTCAAGAGGCAGACATGACAAAGCAACATCAAGGGCTTCAAGGAAATGATAAAAGTTGCTTTAGTTGAGATTCCTGCTTTGCAGGGGGGTTGGACTAGATGACCCTCGAGGTCCCTTCAAACTCTATGATCTTTTCAACTGGCTAGGCTATTGGCAGCAGCTTGATTTGAAGCAGTTTTCACCAGGTGACACACCATTGCTACCTGCCGATCACTGCTAGGAAAGGATCATCTATAAGTAGTTGACAGCCCTAGATGCAAGGGGAAGAGAAGGGCTAGGATTGCCTTGATAAGTTGCTTGGATAGCACAACCAAGAGAAAGGGCTGGGGGGCTGGGAGAGGGGAAGTTTGCATTTTAATAAAATAATAATAATAATAATAATAATAATAATAATAATAATATATTATTATTATTATTATTATTTATACCGTGCTCATCTGGCTGGGTTTCCCCAGCCACTCTGGGCGGCTTTCAACAAAAGATTAAAAAAAATTAAGACAGGCGTCCTCAACTTCGGCCCTCCAGATGTTTTGATACTACAATTCCCACCATCCCTGACCACTGGTCCTGCTAGCTAGGGATCATCGGAGTTGTAGGCCAAAAACATCTGAAGGGCTGAGGTTGAGGAAGCCTGCATTAAGACATCAGTCATTAAAAACTTTCCTAAACAGGGCTGCCTTCAGATGTCTTCTAAATGTGAAATAGTTGTTTATTTCTTTGACATTTATTTACTTTTTATCCCTTTATTTTATAAATTGCCTGATGGGTTTTAAAATAGCTGTCACAGCAGGATGCAATATGGAATAACAGAGAGTATAAATTGAATTTCTAAACATGTATGAACCAGAAATGAAGTACATATACTGTTAGAATGGCAGAGTAAGTGCATTTGAAAACACACACAAGAAAAGAAATCAGAATAATCAGTGAAATTCACAACAAATAGGTTGCCTGGATACCTGTAGGAAAGAATAGAGTGATATTCATCTAAGATACTCATAGCAGACCCTCTGAAATGAATGGACATAACTCCATGGACTGGCGTTTGATTGACCTTGGATATATTCCATAGCAAATACATAGCTTATGAAATAAATTCTAAATGCTATAGGGCTGTTGCCAATGCTAGTCCTACTTAGAGTAGACCCATTCAAATTAATGCATCAAGCCTATCTTTAGATCCATTAATTTCAGATGAGTATGCTGGATTCAGATGATAAGCAAGGAGATTCTGACTAAACATTAGGAAGAACTTTCTGATGGTAAGAGCTGTTTGACGGTGGAACAGTCTCCCTCGGGAGGTGATGGACTCTCCTTCCTTGGGGGTTTTAAGACAGAAGTTGGGTGGCCATCTGTCAGGGATTCTTCAGCTGTATTTCCTCTATTGCAGGGGGTTGGACTAGATACCTCTCTGGGTCCCTCCCAACCCTACTGTTATGTACTAAGCTTGGATCCTAGAACAAGAGGCAGGTAGGATCCTAGAATGCAACAACTGATTGGCTTGCAGGAGAAGACCAATCAGGCTCCAGGAGGAAGTTAATCAGCCTATTAGGCTGGTAGGATCATAGAATGCAACAACTGATTGGCCTGCAGGAGAAGACCAATCAGGCTCCAGAAGGGAAGCAGAATCAGCCAGTCAGACGGGACTCATTGTGTAAATAATGTACAGTCATACCTCGGGGTACAGACGCTTCGGGTTGCGCGATTTCGGGTTGTGCACCGCGCCGAACCCGGAAGTACCAGAACGGGTTACTTCTGGGTTTCGGCGCTTGCACATGTGCAGAAGTGCGCGCGCAGATGCGGCGCTGCGGGTTGTGAACGTGCTTCCTGCATGGATCACGTTCGCAACCCAGGCGTCCACTGTATATAAAAGCCTAAGGTTTCGGGGGAAATTCAATCGCTGTTTTACAAGCTGCGAAAAAGAGCATGAAATCACTGCAGGACTCCGAGTATATTTCACCTACAATTCTGATTCTATGCGTAGGACTTAATTGGAGACAACCCTATGAGACAGCTGGAGAAAGATAATCATGTGCCTCCTCCACGCAAGGAGAATTAAGCCCAGGCCTCATCCTCACCTTCCCCCTGTGCTCTTTGACGTCAAGTTGGCCACACTCCCGAAATACCTCAGCGGTAGCATATGCCAGCGGCCGGTGTCCTTTGGCCACATATAGATGCAGAAACCTGAAGAGGAGAGGGGCACGGAATAGTTTAAGAACTTGGTGGTCGGTAGACAAGACTCTTCTCCCCTGGCAATGCTGTGAGAGAACCGCCTGACATAGTGGCTGGAGTCTCGGACTAGGACTAAGGAGACCCTGGTTCTGATCCCTGCTCAGCCATAGATTTCACACGGGCCAATGGTTCTCCCTCTTTCTCAGAATTAGCCTGCCTTGCGTGGTTTTTGGGAGGATAAAAGCTGGGGACAGAACCATGTGTAGAAATGTGGCATCTAAATGTCAAATAAATGTAATAAACACACAGTATAACAATCTACACGTGTATAAGAAACAAATTTTGAAAAAATGACTATAAACAGAAATAGAGTACATTTCACCATAGTGGGGAAGACTGTGCTGAGGCATACCTGCTCAGAGTCACTAAATTGTCCATGGGCAATTTCCCTACTCTCCCTTCTTAGGGTTATTCGTCTTTATCTGTCCAACTAGGGTCATATCCACATGTGATCATACATTTAGAGCACATGCCTTCCCCCAAAGAATCATGGGAACTGTAGTTTACAGCTGCATTTCCCGGTACCCATATCAAACTACAGTACAACTCCCATGATTCTTTGGGGGAAACCAATTTTTTAAAATGAATGTGACCCTGGGCCAGACAGAGGACTATCTGCTATAAAACAGGACACACAGCCACCTTACTTCGAAGGGGACTGGGATGGTATTCAAAGCGATATCCGGGGGGTGGGGGCGGGGAATCAGTGCCCTCACCACCGGCAACAGACTTACGTGTCTCCATCCTCATCTTGATGTAGCAGAAGAGGCAGTTCTGTGTTCCTGATCTCTGCCCGAGCTTGGGTCAGTTCCCCAGGATCCACTTCCATGGATGAGGCTGGGAAATTCTCCTCGGGAAGGAGGCATGGGTTGTTCATTTCTTGCTGCAGGCAGACGCCCCCAGGAGCGGGGAAGAGGTCCAAAGGCCCCGTTTCAGAGACTGCCGTCTGTGTGGAAGAAACCATGGTAAAGAGGCATTGCAATATTACCAATCTTTCCCCCCAGATATACGCCAGGGTTGCCAATGTGGGCACATATATGTTCAGAGAGGCGTTCCCTGGCATTTCCAGGGCCCCCTTCTCCCACCAAAATTAGGCTTGGGAACAGCTTCTGACTCTGAACCGCCTTGGGGCAAGCATTCCACAAATGGGGAATGGAGGTACGTTCCCAAGGATTTCCTTGGAACAGGAAAACTGCTGTTTAAAAAACAGATTAAGATGATAGTGTTATGTATTGAAGTTCTCACCCTGGCCACCAGGGGTATTGTGTATACAGTGGTACCTAGGGTTAAGAACTTAATTCGTTCCGGAGGTCCGTTCTTAACCTGAAACTGTTCTCAACCTGAAGACCACTTTAGCTAACGGGGCCTCCCGCTGCCGCCACGCCGCCATTGTGTGATTTCTGTTCTCAACCTGAAGCAAACGACCCGAGGTACTATTTCTGAGTTAGTGGAGTCTGTAGCCTGAAGCGTCTGTAACCTGAAGCATATGTAACCAGAGGTACCACTGTATAGTTTTCACTCAGGTCCACGTTAAGTTAATTTAGGCGGGAAACCCTGGGTTGTTGTTGTTACAATGTTGACCGCCAACTTCCTATAAAAGCAGGCCGGCTGAGCTGTTTGCAGTTCAGTTCCAGCTTACTTATAAAGAACTACTTGGAGAAATCTCTGTGTCGTCTGCTATGTCCACCCACAATCTAATAGATAGCATGAGACCTTTCCTTGTCTCCAGTTTGAGCCACTCCTCACCCACGCACATCCCCTCATAATTCCACATTCACCTCATAATCCACCGCTGACGCCATCTTGGAACCGTACACTGCCTCAGTGGTGCTAGGTCCTGCAGGCCCATAAACACTGGCATCCAAAGAAGTAAAGGGGTTGATGATGCCATACTGGGGCCCTGGATGTGGAAGGAGGTAGTTCTTGGTGGGGTCCACTGGCTGGTAGTGGCAGTCGGCAGGGAAGGCCGCTTGGCTTGAGGTGTCTGGCTGCCAGGTGGGAAAGGCCGCGACCGGGTACTCGGGAGCAGCTGTCTGTCCTGGAGTAGGTCCTCTTCCCTCAGCTGCTCTGGGGGGCTCTAGGAAGAGGGACTCAGGTGAGCAAAGAATACAGAAGCAGAAGAAAAGCCCTGCTGGATCAGGCCAGTGGTCTCTCTAGTCCAGCATCCTGTTCTTACTGGGGCCAACCAGATGCCCATGGGAAGCCCGAAAGCAGGACCCAAGCTCAAGAACACCTCTCCCTTCCTGTGGTTTCCAGCAACTGGGACGCAGAAGCATACTGCCTCCACCAGTGCAGACAGAACGTTAGTAGCCGTTACAGGCGCACCGACTCTATGGGGGAAGAAAAGCATTCCAATGTGTCCATATCCACTCACCTGTTCGGTTGGCTTCGAAAACTCCTGGGGGTATCTGCAGAGGAAGAGTAAAAAAAGAGGATCAGTAATGAGCCTGGTAAAGGTAATAAAGCGGTTGTGTCTGGACCAGTGTGGTGTAGTGGTTAAGAGCGGTGGACTCATAATCTGGTGAACCGGATCCTCCACATGCAGCTGCTGGGTGACCTTGGGCTACTCAGACTTCTCTGAAGTCTGTCAGCTTCACTCACCTCACAGAGCGTTTGTTGTGGGAGAGGAAGGGAAAGGAGATTGTTAGCCGCTTTGAGACTCCTTAATAATAATAAATTTTTATTTATATCCCGCCTTCCCAAGCCGAAGCCAGGCTCAGAGCGGCTAACAACAGTAAAAGTAACACAATTTACATAAAATCACAATCAATTAATTGAAATACATTCTAAAATCAAGTCATTCTAAAATCAATTCAGAATCATGGCACGGGGCCATTAATTTGAAAAAGTCCTGGCTCTGGTTAGTGTAGTGATAAAACGGGATATCAAATCTAAATCCAAACATGCTATGGTCACCACCCTAGACTAGGCTGCCCCTTAATCTGACCCCAAATGTTCATTCGCATGGTCCCCATTTCATAACGTAGGAAGAAGCTACCTTCTACTGAGTCAGAACAATGGTCCATCTACCCTCATGGACCAAAGTTCTGACTCAGCAGAAGGCAACTTCTTCCCATGTTATGAATTGGGGACCATGTGAATGAACATTTGGGGTACGTTCTATCCTATGTGGTGGACCTGTAAAAGGGTAAAAGAGTATTGGGAAATACTTCATAATGAATTGGAAAAAAAATGTTTAAAAGTACATTTCAAAAACAAAGAAACCAGAGTCCTTTTTGATGGGGATAATTCAGACGGAAATTCCCAGATGTCAAAAAAGGTTATTTATGTATGCCACTACTGAGGCCCATGTTTTGTTAGCCCCAAAATGGAAAACGAGCGAAGTCCCAGCTAAGGAAAAATGGCAACTTAAACTGATAGAACATATAGAATAAGAGAACAAGAAGAACATACAGTGGTGCCTCGCAAGACGAAAATAATCCGTTCCGCGAGTCTCTTCGTCTTGCGGTTTTTTTGTCTTGCGAAGCAAGCCCATTAGCGGTTTAGCGGATTAGCGGATCAGCTGATAAGCGGCTTAGCGAATCAGCTGATAAGCGGCTTAGCGGCTTAGCGGATCAGCTGTTAAGCGGCTTAGCGGATCAGCTGATAAGCGGCTTAGCGGATCAGCTGTTAAGCGGCTTAGCGGCTTAGGATCAGCTGATAAGCGGCTTAGCGGCTTGGGAAAAAGGGGGGGGAAGGAAAAAAACCCCGCAGGAACTCGCAAGACATTTTCGTCTTGCGAAGCAAGCCCATAGGAAATTTGTTTTGCGAAGCACCTCCAAAACGGAAAACCCTTTCGTCTAGCGGGTTTTCCGTCTTGCGAGGCATTCGTCTTGCGGGGCACCACTGAACGTTTAAAAAAGATTGGAAAATGTTTATTGAATATATGGGGGGAAATTGTGTATATTTGAAAACGACCTGGAAATGCTGGGGATTTTATTTGGGATTGAACGCTGGGCCTTCTGCATGCAAGACAGATGCTCTAACACAAGGCTAGAGCCCTCGTCTCAAAGAATGCAAACCAGGTGCAGCTAGCCTAGGTGACGGACCCTAACTTAGAAGGCTGAGACAAATTCATTGGATGAGAAAGCTGTCAACAGGTACCAGTCATGATGGCCACATGGAACCTCTGCTCAGAAGCAACAGCCATTGAATGCTTGCTGTGGGGAGCAATGGCAGCAGGAGAGGGCTGCTGCCTTGCTGTCCTGCTTGGGAGTTTCCTGGAGACATCTAGCTGGATGGGGCTGCTGGAAGCAAGGAACAATCGCAACTGGTTTCAGCGGATGACTCACCTGGGGTCCAGTGCTGTGGCCAAGGACCATCTGCTGTTGCCTTTTTTGTTCCAGTAATTCCCGCACAGTCTGGGGTGCTAAACTGCTGCGTGGAACTTTGCAACCTGAAAGCAGAGAGAGCAAATGGGGCTGTCAGGATTGAGATGATGACAGCTCTAGCCTGGGATCAGATCATTTCCTAAAAGCATGCAAGCATCCCACCTTGTGTCTATTTCAGGGGTAGGCAACCTAAGGCCCGTGGGACGGATGCATCCCCATCGCCTTCTCAATCCAGCCTGCGGATGGTCTGGGAATCAGTGTGTTTTTACATGAGTAGAATGTGTCCTTTTATTTAAAATGCATCTCTGGGTTATTTGTGGGGCATAGGAATTCGTTCATCCCCCCCCCCCAAAATATAGTCAAGCCCACCACATGGTCTGAGGCATGGTGGACCAGCCCATGGGGCCATTTTTGCCAAGCCATACTGACATAATAAACGGAAAAATATGCTATTACTTGGCTGGAGGACAGCATTGCAAAATTCAGAGATTTTGAAAGACAGCGGTGCTTCGATTTGCATATTGCTTCGGAAAGTGTGAATTAGGCAGGTTCTCCTTTAAATGTGAACTGAATCAAATTTCAGATGATATAAGACTACAACTCCCACAATCCTTTGCTCACAGGGGAAGCCATGACTTTTTAAAGTGGTAGCCTAGTGTTTTGAATGCATGGTGGGAATGTGGTCTTGAGGTTAGTTTGGCTTCCTCATCCATTCTGTAGGAAATTGTAGCTGTGTGAGGGGAATAGGGGTTTTCCAGTACTCTTAATGAACTACGGCTCCCAGAATCCTTTGGGGGAAGTCATGATTTATTTGTAGGATTAGACAATGATGGCTGTCCAATGAGCATTCATTCTGATTTGTTTGCGGGGAGTTTAGATGACATTACATCAACATAAGTGTTATCTCACACCTCCCAGGGCATTTCCCCATCACTTTCCTTTCTCTTTTTATATATAAAAACCCAGATCTTTGGGGGAAGCAGTTTTCTTGCACAATTCAACTACAATTGCACAACTGAAATTGCTAGGACGTGCTTGCATCCCATTCAAGAATAGCAACAGTCCGGAAGTGCCCTTGAAGTATTTGCTTTATTCATCAACGTAAAGATGCAGAGTACATCAAAGCAAAAGTAGACATTCCTATGAAGCAGATCCTTCAAAGACTGTCCATTCCAGCTTTCCAGAAATTCTTGCATGTGGTGTCTCTGTCTGTCTGTCTGTCACCCATACACATGGCCATTGTCCTTACCAACCTGCCAGCTCCCCTATCTCACATGCATAGCTGCCTCATCAGTGGGGTACCACCTCCTCCAAACTCCGGTTTCTCATTCAAAAATGGAGAGAGGTTTCTAGCTACCCGGAGACCATGTCATACAGCCCATTGAAAAAAAGACCAGCAAACCATTCTGGGCTGTTACCAGCAATCTAACAAAGGAACAGCGGATCTGCAGTGCCAGTAACAATATATTCCAGACCCAAGCCTTGACAGCAAATTAATCTTTCCTCCAGGCAACCTGTATATTCAACATTCACCCTCATTTCACTAGCACAAAACTTGCAGTGCGGCTAGAATGCTGGGTCTTTTTTGAGCATTTGCTCTGACTTGTTTATGGGATGGACAACGAGTATTTATCCTGCATTCATCTTGATTTGTTTTTGGGGTCTTCAGACGTCTTCCTGTTATTCATTATTTCCCCTCACACTTTTCAGTGCATGTTCTCCTCCCTTCCCAAAGTGCAAAATATATGTTGTTGTTTTTTAAAAAACAGATTAATGCACCAGGACATTTGTAATTACAAACTCCCCACCCTCTGACCAAGGGACCACTTGATCATCGCTGAGGGTCCTAGTGGACCATTTCTGCCCATTGTAGCAATTTCAAAGTGCTGTGTGATTTTTAATTGCATTTCTATTGTTTCTTTTCTTTTGTATGTACTGTATTTCACTGCATTACAATCTGAATTCCACTGAATTCAAAATACAACGCTGTAAAATGCAACATAGGGAACGGTGAAGCAATTAAAAACCATAGAGCGATAAGGAAGCAATAAAAAGTTAATTAAGGATCAATATAAGAAATAAAAGAAGCAATAAAAATACAGTTAAAAATCAAGGTGGATCTTTAATGGGGAAACATGAATGAAGTCCGCAGACCCCAGTTTGAAAATCCCTGTGCTCGGGCGACAGAGCGATTTGATCCAATTTTTTATTACAGAGACCTAAAGTTCCAGTACATGCTCAGGTTCCTCCTGCAAAATAGTGACAGTCTCGGAAGGCCCCTCTTAAATTCCTGAGCGCTCCTGTGACATGATTCAGAGTTTGCCCTGCCTGCTACAGGGACAAGGCTGCTGGCAGAAAATAACAGCTCTGTGCTGCTCATGAATCCTGCTTTGACCCAACCTCGGCCTCTCATCTCCGTCACTTGTGGTTTCCCTTCTCGACGCACAAGGGATATTTTCCAGAGCAGGTGATGCTCAAACGCAGATATTGTGGCCATCCCCCACCTCCCCGGTCCCCTGTTAAAAGCAATGTGAGGAGGAGGGGAATGGCAGGCAGCATGCCAACTCAAAGGCATGTGCTGTGGTTGTTGTCCTGGCTGCCGGTGTAAAAAACAAGGCAACTTCCGTTGACGGAAGGCATGACACTGTGAAGGAAATGATGTGGAAGAAAAACTCAGCTGGCAAGGGCTGCTGGTCAGAGCTATTCCTCAACTCAACTACATTTCCTTTCCGGATCCTGTGACCTAAACCTGCAAGGTTCAGGGTGAGTCCCCTGGTGCAGATGCAAGTGCGTAAGTCAAAGGAGTGCTCTCCTCTTATTGCTGGACTCCAGCCCCCACCAGCCTCAGCCAGCATGACCCATGGCCAAGGACAATGGGAATTGTAGTCTACAGCGTGGTGTAGTGGTTGGAGCACTGGACTAGAGATAACACTTAATGTTGGGCGGAGGAAACAGACTGCCTTTGTAATTTTATTATAGAAAGAGGAGAACAGTGCAAGGCAGGCATTGGGAAATTTGAATCAGGGGCGCAGGCAGTGTTTCAGCACTTCAAATCCCTGTGGGCGGAAGAAGTTACTGTTCTGATCTTTCCCGTGCTGCAGCGCCACCTTTGTAATGGTCAGAGCAGGTACTGCAGATCCAGGATTCCGTCCCTAGTCTGAACAGTATGTCTTGCCCATGTCCAATTTGGATTCTCTCTGTTTCTCAACTTTCCAACCTAAAGTTCATTTCTCCACATTTACACATCAGTTTGGGTCATTCTTCTTTTTTTTTTAAGGGTTCAGGAAAATTCATCAGTATTTCAGTGCAAATTTCCTGTAATATGCACGTTTGTATGCAATTTTTGCCTAAGATAAGCATTTCCCCCCCCAATCTCCCCTAATTAATACATTTTGTCTATGTTATTATCACAAATATATGCATTTTTAAAATACAAACTTTGCCTTAGTATATGCATTCATGTACACATGACTTGGCTGGGGAACTACATTGTTGGTGCAAGGAAAAATATAGGTATAAAAGGAGAAATTCTGGATGGCAAGATCCAAGGCTGGGACAAGTACTCTGCAATGACCCCAGCAGAGATTTAAACATAATAAAATATGCAATAAAGTAAATCATGGAAATATGGGCTTAGGCCTTTAAAATATGTCCCTGCGAGTTCCAAAACTTCCCTCTAACCCCACACATCTGGTAAGTTTACTTACTTACTCTCCAAAGGCCGGATTCATGTGCTTTTCCATACCATACAACATTCAGGAAAAGTTGCACAGGCAGTAAAACTTAGTTTAGTTCCAAAATGGCAAAAAATTGTAAATTATTGGTATGGAACACAAGAATGACTTGTGAAAGCCATTCACCTAAGCTGGAGCAACCAGCTTAGCTTCTTCACACACCGAGATCACCAGGTAGACTGAGAGGAGGTACAATAGTCTTGATTACCTATATCCTCTAAGGTAAGGGTAGTGAACACAGCTAAGGACAGCTGGCAAGACAGCTTACTCTATGGTATTAACCCCTTTATGCATTAAATAGACTTAAGCATGTTGGTTAAATGAGGCAGGTTATCCCCCATACATTGCTAAATTTGGGGAAGTTCGAATTTAGAAAGGATGTCTGGGTTTCAACACTCTTATTGTTTTGGAAAGTGAAAATTTGAGAAGTTCACCTTTAAAAGCTTTACCGAATTGAGTTTTCTCTGCAACACTACTTTCCTGCTTGACTTGAGGGTGGCAACAATTAGTCCATTCTTGGACATACCTTTTGCCTTTCCTAGAGCTCCACTTCAAGTCTCTTTAGGAACTTCGCCAAGGCCTGCTAGCAAGCTTTGCTGGTTTAGATAAATAGTAGAAGCAGAGTACTAGATCTGGGAGACGGAGGTTTGTGATGGAAATCCCTCTTTTGCTACAGCACTTCAAGTTGCCACCATTCTGGGGAGGCAGTAAAATGGGGCCCCTCCTGCACACAATCCCATCCTACACATACAATCTCATGCACCATGAAAGAAAAATTAACATCTAGATTCCTGAAAATGATATCTTAACTGAGAGCTTGAAATTAACGTTTGTTTTTAATTCTGAAATTCCTCCTTCAACAGTTCTGAAAACTGTATCTTGGCCCAGACCGGGGATTCTTGCCATATCCCCAAATACCCCTTCACTTTCAGCTATCCTACACACTCACAGGAAACATCCAGGCTGAAGATGAGTCCTACTAGGCTTTTCTTGGTCTTTATAGAAGTATTATCTTGCCAGTGTTTTGAATTTTAAAAAATTATGGCGGACCAATATGGCAGCAAATATTCCATAAACCAGGAGTGGGAAATCTCCAGCCTGGGGAACAAATGTGGCCCTCAAAGCCCCATTATCTGGCCCTTGGAATTTTCCCCAGGCCACACCCCTTCTCCAGCCACACATACTTGCCTGGCTTTGAGCCATTGAATGAATTTTGCCAGGCTGGAATGAGTCCCTGAACTCTGATCATGCCTCTTGCTTCCTGGATGGAGGACAGAGAGAGCTGTACACCTAATGCACAAAGGTACCATTTGCTTTAATTGCTCTGCCCAGTTTTGCCCCTGGCTCTGCTCACCTCTGTAATGTGGCCCCTGGAAGGTTGCCCAGCAGGGAATGTGGCCCTTGGGCTGGAAAAGAATCCCCACCTCTGACATTGTTCAAAAGAATCATAGAATCATAGAGTTGGAAGAGACCACAAGGGCCATCGAGTCCAACCATTCTTGTACAGTAGTTGGAGATCCATCCACCTACAGTCTAATGTGATCTAGACTGCTTTGCCACCTCCTCATTGGGTTGCCTGCCTCATTCAAGGGGTAAATAAATCAGCGGAAAGGAATTGAAAGTGGTATACACAGAGATGTGAGAGCCAGATTATACGCCCTCCAATAATTCGCCATTGTAAATCATGAATGGTGGAGGTAGAGTAACCCCTCTATCTTTATACTGGAACTGGGAGCCATCAGAGGAAACTTGAGGGACAGTGTTGGTGGACTACAGCTCCCATCATCCCTGACTATTGGGTGAGATTGCTAGGGATGATGGGAGTTGTAGTCCATCCCAGCAACATCTGGGGAACCAAGGTTGACTAGCTCGACATATCTGTGCCCTTAAGTACAGGGTTGTTCAAACACAAGCCAGCAGTCTGGGCCTTCCAGTCCAGACTAGGAGTTTAGCATGGTGGTAGAGGGCTTTAACCCCCTGCCCTCAGCTATGGTCTTGATCTCTTTCAGGCTCCCTGCTGTGGCTGCAGAATGCATAGGAAAGAGAGAAAAACCCCACATCTCTCTCACTTACTTCAATGGAATTCCGTGCCTTTTCCTTGTCTCCACCCACCGCTGTATGGATGGGGAATGTAGAGCTCCTGATTTGGATTGGGGCCATAGCAGAGCACAGATATGTAGCTAATGTATGACTCAGTTTGACCCCAATTAGCAGACTGTTAATCCAGAGTAGATGCTAGGAAGCGTTCCCAACAGTGCAGCTGTCAAAATTATATCATTAAATAATCTTAATATTATTGATTAGCCCATTCGAGTGGCCCTCATCCTACTCTAGGTGCCCCCACCCCAGAAGTAGTTAAGAAGGTCCTTCCTTGGTAACTTCTTCTGCAAAAGCGGCCTCTAGAGGAGGCTGATCACTGCTATCATTGGCTAATCACTGTTGATGGAGACCTATCTCTCTTGAGATCGCTCAATTCTTTTCGAAAACCATCTCAGTTAGTAACCATCAAGCGGCAGTGCCAAAGCTATGGAATAATCTCCCTGGAGACCTTCGCCTGCTTCTATTTTCGTGCCAACTTAAAACACGGAAGGTCACCTTCTGACTGCCTGAATTTTGCGGGAGGGATTGACGTGCATGCTGGAAATGTAGGTCTGCATAATTCAAGTGGGTTTAAGCACTCTGTCACCTTGGCGGAACAAATCCACTTTTTAAAAAGAGAGAAAGAGAGAGAGAGGACTTTTTTGCAGTTAGGAAAGTGATGGGGAAAGTGTATTGCGAAGTGTGGGGAGAATGATAAACAGGAATTCATTTAACCATCAAAAAAGCAAATAAGGATGAATGCTCATTGCTTTATCACCTCCCCACCAATGAATCAGAACCCATACACAATAAAGACCAGATGTAAGCTACCCAGTGCACAAGCTTTGAACAAGCAAATGGATATGAATGCTGATTCAATAGATCACCTGGAGGAGCCCTTATTTGAAAGAGATTTTAATATCAGCTGAATGAACTTTATGTTGTTTGCAAACTGCTAGCAAAAGCAGCTGTTGCAGACACAGTGCTTGCCTTGCCTTGTATCATCAAGGCTACCCATGCAAGAAATGCCAATCTCTCTCTAGTCTTAAATGGTTGAACAAGAGGTCAATATAATAGATATAGCATCTTTTATTACGGTGGGAAACCTGTGCCCCTCTGCATGCTGGTATGTCTTATAGGGGTGGATGAATCTGTTGATTTTTGGTTTTCTCAGTTTCTCCTTTTTCCAATCTCACGTTCAGTTCTACAGCAATTTGTGATTTATTGGGAAAATTCATACGCATTTTAGTGCAAATCCCCTCTAATAAGCACATATTTCTATGCAGTTTTTGACTAATATACAGAGTCTTGCAAGCAGTCTCCCCTATTATAATGCATATTTGTATATTGTTTTCACTAATATATACATTTTTATGTACACTTCCCCCAATATATGTACATTTGTAAGCATTGGTTGGTTTGAGAACTCCATTGCAAAATTCAGAGAAATGCGAATTTCAGACGATAGCTGTGTTTCAGTTCTTGAACCAATACTGTACATCAAGTGTGAACTAGGGAGATTCTCATTAGATAGAGTATCATTAATTAGCTGATTTTGCTTCTGTATTAATGAGAATCTACCTATCTCCCCTTTGTCTAGCACTTTGATGGTTAGTGCGTTAGATATGGACATGAGGACGAGGGTTAAAATCTTTACTCAGCTAGCAAACTCCCTGGATGACCTTACTTCAGTCACTGTGTCACAGCCTAGTGGAGCAAGGGTGGGGGGAAGAACTATTTTTTCCAGTCTTAGCTCCTTGGAGTAAAGGTGGCATAAATATTTAAATGTGCTGTAAATCCAGGTGTATATCCAGCCTTCAGCCTCAGCCAGCATGGCCAGGGGTGATGGAAACTAGGTAACAATTGTGAATTTTGACTGCTGTTTTGTGGGGGAGGAAACTTCTGCAGAAAGAAAACCAGCCCATCAAGGACAATGGGTTCTACCCAGTTTTCTTCCCTTCCACATTACTTTTCTAACCTACAGGGCATCTGTGAAACAACAGATTTCCTTGGATAGCTCAATTGGTAGAGCATGAGACTGTTAATCTCAGGTTTGTGGGTTCGAGCCCCACGTTGAGCAAAAGATTCCTGAATTGCAGGGGGTTGGACTAGATGACCCTCGTGGTCCCTTCCAACTCTACAATTCTTTGAACGATGGTGTTGCAATTGGCACAGAGGGACCACCTGTGGTTTGCGAGAAGAACTTCCACCCACTTGGTGCGGGCAGAGGAGTCAAAACCCCAGAGACCCAGACTTAACCCCGAGAGCGCAAGGGGCTTTCATGGGGAAGCCGGAGGACATGGGGATTCCGAGTCTCTGGTTAACCAGCAGCCCGGCAGACATCTGGGCCTGGCTCTGAGCCCAGTGCTTTCTTCTTTTTCTGGCCAAGGGACTACCATCACCCCCCTGCCCCCAGTGGCAGGAAAGAGACAAAGCGTTCTGCTGTGTGTGGCCATGTGTGATCAGCCCCCGCACTCGGCAAAGTAAAGAGGCCGCGTGCAGAATGGAATCCCCAGCGACGCGTCACTGGGAAACCCCAGATTGTTTCCTGTCTTCTTGGAAGCGGCCAGATGGTTCGATCTCTTGAGATGGTGTGTGTGTGTGTGTGTGTGTGTGAGAGAGAGAGAGAGAGAGAGAGGGAGACATCTGGGGGAAGCCACCCACCTCAAGGGGCTGACTCTGCCCAGGTCCCTTCTGAAACAAGAGGAGCAGGAACCCAGGCGTCCTGGCTCTTCTGTTTCCTCCCCCCTCCCAATCAATGGAACATCAACGGCCCACGCTTGCATCCTTTGCTGATACAGCTCTCTTCCTGTGTCTGCCGACAGCTGTGCTGCGAATACACAAGTGGTCCAGGGGGTGGGGAAATCTGTGGGTCTTTAGATGTTGCCGGACTCCATCAACCCACCACTGACGGCCATCCTGGCTGAGCCGAGGGCATCCCGAGACTAGCAACATCCAGGGTCCTGACTGCAGCATCGCTCCTTGCGCGTGTTAGTTGCCAAGTTGCCCAAAAAGCAGGACACTCAAACACAACAGCCCAATCTGTTCTTACGCCTTTGGCAACACTTTGCTGGATGGCAGGTGGCAGAGCCTGAAGCCTTTCACAACACAGTAACTCCTGAATACCTGCACACATCAAGCTGCTCGTTAAAGGTACAGCAGCAGCTTTTTCAACTTGCGATTGGAGCAGGAGGGAGGTAGAGGGTCCTTAATGAAATAAATATACTAGGTTCACACCCAGGGTTGTATCCAATACTCAGAGGAGATCCACTGAAATTAATGGGAATGATGATATTTGGTTCATTAACTTAACTGGGTGTAATCGGAGTAGAAATCAGCTTGTGGCAAACCCCAGACACTTACCGATTATAGCCAAAATGTACCCCCCCAAATAATCTTTTTTAAAAGTATAGTGAGGGGGCACCAGGAAAGGCCAGCCTCCCCCCCCCGACTACAGTGGTACCTTGGTTCTCAATCTTAATCCGATCCAGGAGTCAGTTCGACTCCCGAAACCGTTCGAAAAGCAAGGCATGGCTTCCGATTGGCTGCAGGAGCTTCCTGCACTCAAGCGGAAGCAGCATTGGATGTTTGGCTTCTGAAAAACGTTTGCAAACCGGAATACTTACTTCTGTGTTTGCGGTGTTTGGGAGCCAAGCCGTTCGAGTACCAAGGTACCACAGTACTTCTAATTTTAGCACTGAAAGCCATGAGTCAGAATGATACAACTCATGTCGCATAATGTGGCTTGCGCAAAGAGGCTCCTTCACTTACACCAGACTGGGCTCCCCATGGTGCTGGTGCCACTTGAAATTGTGTACAGCAGATAAACACACCTGTCTGGCAAATGGAAGTTGCGTTCTGATCTGCTAGTTTTAGGAGCCCAAGCACAAATGCCCTCCCGCAGTAGGCCTGTTTGTTTATTTATGAAACAGTACCCTGGCATGGAGGGACGCGGGTGGTGCTGTGGGTTAAACCACAGAGCCTAGGACTTGCCGATCAGATGGTCGGTGGTTCGAATCCCTGCGACGGGGTGAGCTCCCGTTGCTCGGTCACTGCTCCTGCCAACCTAGCAGTTCGAAAGCATGTCAAAGTGCAAGTAGATAAATAGGTACCGCTCTGACGGGAAGGTAAACGGCGTTTCCATGCACTGCTCTGGTTCGCCAGAAGCTGCTTCGCCATGCTGGCCACATGACCCGGAAGCTGTACGCCGACTCCCTCAGCCAATAAAGCGAGATGAGCACCGCAACCCCAGAGTCGGCCATGACTGGACCTAATGGTCAGGGGTCCCTTTACCTTTACCCTGGCATGGCGACATGTGAGAGTGTAGATCAGTCTCCTGATCTAACTATAAATGTGTCATTTTAGAGTAGTGATTTCCCAAAGTCAACCTGCTCCTTTGGGGACAAAGGGCTCTGGATCACCTCCACACTGTATATTTCAAGTACACAACTCCCTCCCTCAAAGAATCATGGGAACTGTAGTTTCTGAAGGGTGCAGGGGATTTTAGCTCTCTGGGGAATAAACAACAGATCCAATGATTCTTTTTGGGGGGGAGGGGGTGGAGTCATGTGCTTTGAATGTATGGTGTGGATGTGACCTATAACAGACACAGCTGCAAAGGAGGGGGATGGCAGAGTGTCTGCATGTCAGTGAATCACCACCACTGCATGTCCCTTCAAAAGCATGGAGAGGAACCAGATTGACAGGACCAGGCAATCGCTGTTTAGAGACCACCAGGGTGTGTGGCACCCTAGCTGAGTCACATGAAAACGTGACGGGTGGAAAGTAGACGGCACCTCTGAAGAACGCCATCACTTTTGTTTCCTAGCTCTTGTTACTTCGAACAGTGACTTCACCCTCCAGCAGAGTAGGCCTGCGACCTCAAATGCTCTTACCGGGGACTGGAACCTCTGAATAAGCATTTCTTAGGGTTGCTGAGTCAGTTTCCCACATCCCTTTATTTCCATGCCAAGGGGGGAACATGATACTCCCCCTTGCATCCCTAATTGCAAAATGTAACCATACCCTTAGCATGCCAAGAGGGCAACTCCAGCAGAGCACGGACATAAATACTGCACTGAGCTCAAGGCAGTATAGGTCTAAAGGAAAAGCCCGGTTCCACAATGATCTTCTTTTGGAGAGAGAGTCCACTTCTAATTGTTAAATGTTACAGAATACCAAATCCATCTTTTATGAAGGCTTGCCAGTGAGGATTGCTAATCTTTTCTTTCTGGCAGGGTTTCTGTGCTCTCTCTCTCTCTCTCTCTCTCTCTCTCTCTCTCTCTCAATGTTTATTTATGGATTTCTGGTGCAAGTATTGCAGGTAAGTAATAGTGCTGATACAAATATTTAGGTGCATCCAGTAGTCCCAACACGTCAGGAGCAAAAATAATAAGCTTGAAATAGCCACGCTCAGGACCACACATAGGGAAGGCAAAAATGTTTACGGTTGTGTTTCTAGTAGAAAAACAAGGTCTATCCCAGAGCTGGAGAAAAGCTTGTGCCATATTTAGCTTCTGTTTATTTGCATTGACATAATCCCATGGACAGATGCCAGATTGCCAGATTACCATTGGTTTAGCTCTTCCTTTAGCAAGTTTTTACTGTGAAAGTCGGCTTCTGTGCTCTTTAACACCTGCAAAAGCAGGCAGAAATTCAACTAATGAAACTTTTTAGCCCATGCTAAGGAAAAGCGTCACCTGTTGAATTGCCTGCCTTGCAGCTGATAATAAGAAGCCTTCTCTGGGAAAAAGCTGAAGCAATTCTTTTGCGTCTAAAGGGGACTGTTTACACCCCAGAACAGTCAACAAACCGATTACACCATCCCCCAAAAACCAAGGCTTCTTTAGCAATCTGCCACTTACCTTTCTGTAGTCTCAGACCCATCTCCAGCCCTGGTGGGGCACCAGACACTTTCCCTTCCTCCGCCACCCTTCCTCTGCTGCTTCTGACACAAGGCACCCGTCTCACAAAGGAACTTTTGAGCTCATGAAGAGGAAGCAAAGCTTCAATTTATACTAGCGAGAGGAAGTGGTTGCACAGCCCCTTTCAAGAGAAGCACGCCTCCTTCCCACCTGTCTAGAAATAACACACTTTTTAAAAAGGGGAGCATGCAGTGTGGCCACAGAGCCAGAAATATTGTGGAGGGGAGGCTGAAGGCAAAAATTTTTTCAAGAGAGAATGCTGTGTTTTGTGAGGGAGGTTCTGAATCTTCACTTTGTTTTTATTCATTCTGGTTTCATAGAATTTTATTTAGAATATAGAGTATAGAATAGAATATATAATGCACATAATATTTCATTTTAATATTTGTTAAGTGGAACAATACTTCCTTTACGATATGATACGATAATCTTTGTGTGTTTAAACTGTGTTTAAAACCAACATCGCATTTGGATAGAAACTGTTTCTCAGGCGGCTAGTCCTAGTCTTTATAACCCTGTACCTTCTTCCAGAAGGCAGAAGCTGAAAGAGATCATTTCCGGGGTGTGCACAATCCTGCACTATCTCTGCAGCTTTCTTATGACACCTGGAAGCATAGATTTGATCCAAGGCTGGTCCACTGGAGGGAAAATTACCGTATGCCACTGCCTTCAACATTGATGGTTCCCCTGCTACTGCCGCCCTCCCTCCCACCTACCTGCCACCTCCTGAGAAAAAAAGGAGGCCAAAAAGGAGGTCTGGAGGCAGTGGCAGAGTCACTGTCGTCATCATCATTGGAGGAGGAGGAAGAGGAGGCAGGGGTGTCAGCAGAGAAGTTGGCAGCGAAAGAGAAGGAGGAAAATGCAGGAGATGGCAAGTGGCATGCTCCTTGCAGGCCCAATCTGCTGCCTCTCCCAGCTGTCCCAAATTTGCCACCCAAGGCAATAGCCTCACCAAGCCTCCTAGGCAAGTCAGCTCCGCTATTATTTATTTATTTATTTATTTATTTATTTATTTATTTATTGTTATTATTATTATTAAAAAAGGGGAATGCTGTGATTTGCCCAGAGAGCCACCTCTGCCGATCTTAACACTTGAGAAGGTCTGTGGAGAAGGAGGCAGTCTTTCAGATATCTGGGGTCAAAGATGTTTAGAGCT